CGAAAGCAACAGCGAACCAACTTACCCCTCGGCGGGCGGGTATTGCTTTCGTTTCGGATATATTCAGCGAGTGCGCGCCTTATTAAACCGTCGGAACCGTCGGTCACCGGCAAGGATTTTTCCCCCTTTTTTTCCGTCTCTCTTTTTTTTATTTGCTCGTACGCAAGCTTCAATGACATCCGCGTAACGGTCGTATTTTTTGGAGAAAAAAGGTGCTCGCGCGATGCTGGATGACAGGACGAATCGGGGAGAGGCAAAAAGAGAGAGAGAGAGACTCAGAAATAGTATTGTGACAAAATAAGCGGGCCGAATGGAATTTTCGCTCGGCGGAGGCAACTGTAGAAATGACGGCCGTATTTTTCCGTCCCCGGCGGATGATTTATAGGAACGGCGCGGACAGTCTGGCGGTGTCTTTACTTTTATTACGTGCAAACTATTTACAGACGCCGTTCATTAGAGGGAGTGCCTTGATCGAGTGGACTGAAAGGAAAGTAATGACGTTCCGGTAGAAGCTATCGGTAACATGGAACAAGGTCGTTAAGACCGCGTCTCGAGGATCCATCGATCTTCCGGAGCCTCGTCTGCGACTGTCAGTTTCAGGTTGCGCGTTCGGACAGACAACGTCGACGTGTCGTTTAGGGGTCGGGGCTGACGACCAGAATCGATGAGGACAAGAGAAAACAGTGATTTTTCAGGCGAGGTCCTCGCACATATCTTTTTTTTATTTTTTTTTTAAGGAACCTAGAAAGAATCACCGCGCGCGCTCACTCGTGGGACTAACCTGTCAATGCTTGACGCCCGCTTGACATTTCAGCATTTCCGATTTCCGAGCGAATCTTGAGGTTTAACTCCCGCCCCCCCGAAGCTTCAAACTTTGATCTCTCGCTCGCGGTATGATAAAGCGCCGCGAAACTTTTACGATGTCCACGAGGAGATAATAGAATCCACTTGGATTCTTTTTCAGCAGTACAATTATTCTCGAGGTGCGCCTACTATTTGTCGCTGCGACAGAAGAGCTTGGCTTAGCTTCTATCGAGTTGGGGTTGGAAACGAGCCAGAAATTATCGCTTTGATCTTGCTACTGGCACGGGGTCGCGAATGCCTTCCATTAACCCTTGAAACATCCGAAAGTTCCGCCGTTAAGGTTAACGGTGGTAGAATTTTACGTTCGTTCCAGCATTGACGCACGTGCGTCTCTCACTTTGGTGCTTAACACTGCCCCTTTATTTCTTCGAGATCACTAAGGGCGAGCGCGAACATTTCAGTTCGTAAGCGTCGGACATTTCGCTTTAGTACCCGACAGTAACTAGAGATGCATACTGTAGAATTGAATAATATTATACTATAACACGTGATATTGCAGCACAATACCGTTTGTTATAATATAGTAATTGTAGAATCTGAAATGCATTCGCCCAGATCCTGCCATGGGTGAATGACGAGTGTAAAAATATAACGTGCAATCACGGTAGGAAACGGTAACGAATTTTATCGAGAAACTAATAACATTCTAATCTTGATAAATTTAATATTACAAATGGTACTCTACAATTTCTTGCGTAATATACGGAAAAAGGCCGGCGCGAGCTACGTTTCTCTGCACTTGTGCACACCGGGAGACCCGTCGGCGTTGCACGGGTTCGAGAAACCCCGTTATCGAAGATGTATACATGTATGTATATCTCGACGCGACCACTTCGCGCACTGCTGCATGCGCAAAAGTGCTCCAAGAAGGACATCGTCCTTCCGAGCGCCAGCTCCGCATCGAACGCTCCTTGCGAATTCGAACGTCCGTATTCAAACGCGGTTCGATGAACCCGCTGGAAAAATGATCAGAGATGCGGCGGGTGAACGGCGCCGGCTGGATCGCGGCCAAGGATCTTCTCGCTCCTTTGATCGCGCCGTCGACCGAATCGGGCCGTTGCTGTATATTATCAATATCGGGTCCATCCTTCCACCGAATCGCCGCGTCGGCGGCAGCGGCGGCGGCGGCGGCGGCGGCGGCGGCGGCGAGACGCGGGCCGCGGCGCGAGAGAAGCGCGAAAAGCGAAGGGGAGTAAGTTAAATTGCGCCGTCGAAATGGGCACGGCTGTCGGTCGGTCGAAAGCCCATTTCCGATAGAAACCAACCCCTCTTCCTTGTCAGTCAGGCGAGACGAAGCCAGGCCGGCGGCGTCCCCGTTATATCCATTTTCGGCCAATTCCGGATTGCGCTCTCTCGTCGATCCGCTCTCTCGCGGGGAATCCTCCGGCCGGATCGAATCCGGCCCAAGAAGTATCTGGGATTGATTATTCGCGGGTATATCGGAATAGATCGGCGATGGAACCCCGAAACGGCAACTACCCCCTGTCGCCCGGTATCCACGCGACGAAATTAGATCGCTGCAGCGAGCTCCGCACTGCGGACTCTCGGGCCGCGCCGTGCATTAACATTTGAGGATTCGAAATGAGAGGGGACCAAAAAAAATGGGCTGAATTTGAAAACGTAAGATCCTCGGGAAAAGCGAAAAATTGCGTACTTAATCAAATCCGTGCGATATCCAATTTCACGTGCGGCAGATATTGCTTAATTCAATACGGATGGAAGTGGGTACGTCTGATGGAATTAAGTATTGGAATTTGTTTTTACCGTTAAAAATATAAATCTATACGGGAAAGTCGTACAGCTGGAACGACGTCAGTCGATAGTCCGGCCGGCAAACTGTACGTACGAGAGATTAGCTCTTCTAAATAGGACGATCCGTGAAATGTGATTGGCGCAAGGGAAAACGTACGTTTGGATGCATTCATGAATGCAACAGCTCGATTGTAATCCGACGAAGAAATACGTTATCTCCTTCATCGATCCCATTGCTTTTTACCCGCTCGATTAAAGTATCGATCAGATATCTAACGCGAATAACAATCGGCATTGGTTCCGACGCTTCGTCTCTTGATATACGCGTTCTTCGTTCCTCATAATCCATATTTATAGATTCTTGTAACGTAACGGACGCGAGCGACGTGAATCCAGTAATAATGTCCCTCCTAAGCGACGGACAGCCCGCGTTGAAATTCGACGTGTAACTCTTCCACCTTTCCTTTTGCCTCGTGCTCCCTCGAATGCGTCCGTGGTTACACGCGACGTTACGAACCGACGTTAAATCTTCAGATAATCCGAGTACACGAGTACATTTTGCTTTGCGTAACAGGTTCGTCGAAACATTTACTGAGCTTGCCATCAAGAAGTTTAACTGAAACCGCGCTACGTGCGCGCACCACGCTCCTTCGAGTGGAAGTACGTCGTAAAAGTACTCGCAAAATTACATTCTGTCACCAAAACAGTTTGGCACGGCGGGCACGTATCAGCCGTTCCTTACGCAATTGTGCAAATTTCTCATTTCACGTGCATTCGTGCCAGTACGAATGTATTGTAATATGCACGAGAGGCGACAATTAAAATGCTCAAAAATGAGATCCCTAACACTGGTATAAAAAAAATATTACTTTACTCAAGAAAATTATTCATTGGGTGGCCCCTAATAGCTTATTAACTTAAATTTAAAACATAATAAACAAATTGAAACATGCATTGCTTTAATTTAAGTATTCGTTAAATATCGAAGAATAGATCATTTTAAATTTAAAACATTCTTTTCAATCAGACTAATGCTGTTAATACAATATCATTTTTCCGCGTACAGTTTTTTGAAAGGTATTTCAGGTTTAACGCCGAATTGGCTTACCTATCGGCTTATAATCAGGGATTTAAATCTCCTTCGAGGAAACTCTGAGGAATCTGGGGATATATCTTTCAATATCTCATTATATCTTTCGCCGCTGTTAGCATATTCAACGACATTAGTCTCGAATAGATATCTTTGTTCTGCCTTGGCGATTGAATCACCAAGCAGAGTCACTTTACGAGTATATAGCACCGAAATAAGCCCTCGTAAAATTGTAGCCGTATCTTAGTTTTCCGTTTCGCTGCGTTATTATTGATCTGCGACCCGTGCAGCGATTGCACGGCGAATATGCCACAATATCACTATATATAGTATTAACAGATCCCATCGATGCTTTCCTCATCGGAGCGATAGGAAAAAATGGGGATCGCGCGCGAGAGAGAATTCCTTTTGTCTTCATTCGTTTCAATTAACTGATAACTGCGGCGATACGGTCTTTGCGGAAGGTTGCCCGCGAGAGATACAAGTGCGCTAGAGAAAACACGCTATTAAGTGATACAAATATTAATTTACAAATAATCAGCGTGATTCGTTCAATTAGATAAAACTAATTTGGGAGACTTCTTTTCGACAGAACAGAACGGCGTAGCTCGATAATGAAACGCCATTCTCACGGCATCGTAAATCCAATCGTAAAAATTTAATTCTTTGGCTTTGTCATGTCCTACATTTATAATGGGCTTATTCATTGAATCATTGAGCTTGCGAACTCACGCGAGACCGAGGGCGGCACACAATTTTATCAACTTTAATCGCCAATATTGACCGCGACGATTAATAATCATCGAACATTTCATTTGTATAATGACGTATTATCGCGTTCTCGAATTAGCAAATGGAATGGTTTCACGCGAGATTTTCGATGCTTAAATGATAATTAGTTGAACTCGGAAACATTATGCATTACTGGAAACGGTGTCATATATACACATACATAATTAGCTCGTGGAGAATTAATATCTCGTTTGCGAGCGATCGCGTGACAGATGTTGCACGACAGGCGCGGACAGTCAGTGGTAAGAAATAAAGTTGGGACAACTAGAATCTCCGCAAGCACTTGTTATTTTGTTGCTTTGCAAAACGACTGATCTCTTTCGCAAGATCGTATCTAAATGTTTTCGAGTTTCCGGTTTTTCCGATTAAACACTCGATTCTGACCCAGAAAAAACGTTTAAGCGGAGAAGCCGGGAACTTCGTAAAAGATCAGTCGAAAAGCAATTATTTCATCGTCGTTCGAGGACGTACAATTCTAACGGTACTCAATTGACGGTTGCAGCGAAGCTGGACGGCGTGAAGACTTACATGCGGATGAGAAGGGTGCCGAATCACTTGCAGGTTAAAGTTATCAAGTGGTTCGACTATTTGTGGCTGACGCAGAAGTGCTCCGACGAGGAGAAAGCAGTGAGTTGTCTTCCAGGTAAGTTTCGCTCACACATAAATGTCGTAATAACTCACGAAGGGAAGGCGCGCGCTTAACACGCTGGGAAAAAAAACGACGAGAAACGGCGCGGATTAAAAAACAGAGAGGAATATCTGCGATTATTATTCACGCGAATCTGCAGCGTCTTTTTTTTCCCCCCGCGGAGAACACGCTTGCGTAACGTTATTTTTAGCGTAAGTGATTTATGAAAGCTAAGTAATGCAATCAACGTAGACGTAATTAGTTATTTTTATATGAATCATCTATCTTCTCTTCACCCTGTAGTTATCGTTATTAATGCGCAATATAGAAGAGATGCGGGCGCAAATTTACTTTCATAAGCGCGAGATATATGAAAATCCGGCGCCGCGGCGCGGTCGTAACTTTATGATATTTATACAAGTCTGCTGGAAATCTACGCGAGCGTCTAGGCTAAAAGTCATTTCGCGAGCGTGTAATTTAACGCACGCGTAATTAATACGACTCCGCCCATCGCGTATTTCTAAACAAAGCTTTCCATTTTTAGCCCATTAGTCAAATAACGGCGGGCACGAATTACGCCGGGCGAGTGTTTACGAGCAAATGAAACGATATCGCTGACTTTCGCCGATGTTGGCGTATATAATTTCACGGGGAAACATTTGATCTCATAACCGCGCTGGCAGAATCCGCAAACTAAAATGCGAGCGAGGCGACGCGTAAGCAGGCTACGTGTACGGTTGCCGACGTCGTCGCCCTTTAATGCAAACCGCGCGAGAGCAAACGGTCGTGGGCGAATTTTCGCTGGGGTGTCTCTCGCAAAGAGGCGAGATAAAAGTGTGCGCTGAAACTTCCCGACTTATATCCGAAAATTATAATTTATTCAGTCCCCCTACGCTCGTTAAATCCATTCTCTTTGTGACGCAGTAAACAATTTGCGTAAGTGGAATTTGCATCATAAATAGAAAAACAAGTCGATTTGCACTTCGGTAACGAATATATCTACTAGCGCGAAATTAAATGCCTGTTTTTATGATAAATAAATCTATTTATTACACAAGTGGAATTTGCATATTAAATAGAAAAACAAATCGACCGGTCTTTTGTGCCGGTGACGAGTATATCTGCTATAGCACGAAATTGAATGCCTGTTTTTGTGATACCTAAATCTAATTATTACATCAGTGGAATTTTTTAAATAGATAGACAAATTGACTTGTATATTGCACCAGTAACGTGTACATCTGCTATTACTAGAACGCAAACTTAAATGCCTATTTTTCATGACAACTAAATCTATTTATCACGTGTAGTAATTATCTTTTTTTCTGATTTATAGTAAAATGTGATTTTGTTAAGTACTTTTCCTTAGTATGAACTAGATAATATTTTTATTGCTCGCGTAAAATGTAGAAGATTCGTAAATGTAGAAAATGTACTTCTGAATCGATTGTTCAAGACGACTCGAAAGCCGATTATTGGAATGAAACGATATTTCTGCTGAGAATTCCCCACTAAAATGCTAGTAAAACAGCGTAATAATGATTCTATCGCTCGCGACGCACTATAAAGGGACTATACGCAACATAAAACGCAGCGTGTATAGAAGCAAATAAACTGAAAGGCACGGGGACCCACGCGGGCTACGCCGGGTATAACATAAGAGGACTTGCGCTGAAATTTATTGCACAGAATATACACGAGTGCTTAACGCGCCAAGTCAAGCTCCCACTAAGAAGAAAATTGTCAGTTTTTTATTTTCTCGAAGCTCCCATAAACTCCCGAAAATGTGTTTCATTTCGTTGTTGAGAGAACAACGTGGGCCAATTTTTTTACACGCTTGCGTTACAGCATGCGTTCTTTTGTTGCGTACAATTTTCAATCGTTTTCTTTGTAGAAAATCTCTTAAGAGACTTCTTTATAATCGCGCTGCTTACAACTGTAGAAAAGGATCTCCATAATAAAGCAGCTGGCTTTTACATTAGCCACTCTTGGGCGAGTCCCTTTGTTTCTTAAACTGAGAGAAATCTATTTCATATTACTCCATTTTTCGCCCGACCATTGTAACAACGTTTTTCAACCGGTCCCCTTATTTAACGGGAGGAGAATTGGAATTTAGACATAGTTAACGTAACGCAGTCTAGAACGCAGAATGTTAAAGAGGGGATAAATGACCGAGGAGCAACGTTATTATTTCACCGCAAAAGCGGAATGCGCTTTTCAGACGAGTTTCCACGGGAGTGCAAGAGCAAGGAACGCCCGGACAACATCCTGGAAATCGTTTCGTTCGAATGGCGTGCATTTCTCATGCAATAAACCTGCTATAAGGCGGGAGTTGTAAAGTCTCCAAGTATAATGCACGACATAACGAGAAGTTGGAAATTGAATATTAGTGCGAAATGAAAAATTGTGGACCATTACGGTGCGAAGGTTTTCGTACACGTATACATTGTTTAATCGGCTATAACGCGAGCGATAAAGTCCCGGAAATAATATCGAAGATCTACGGAACGTCTCTGTATAATATTGCCATTTCGTAGCGAATAGTTAATTTTTAGAACGCTTTATAATTAAAAATGCTCCTTTAATTTCACATTACGTCTTCGAGCGATCCTTCCGTAAACGTAAAACGGAACGATACATGAAATCTTATCGTCTCCGAACCCACTTCCGCAGTTTGCCACGTCGAGAATGTTGCCTGAACGATTTTTCCTCTAATTAATAATGAAATAACCTGTAGTACTATACCCGGGCGTAATAAAACAATAGGTACGGACACTTTTTGCGCGGCGATAATAATCGGATTACACGGACACAGAGCCGAGCAATTAGGCTGCATTACGTATTAATATATCGGGAAGAGACGTTATCGACCGGCGACAAAATTGCATGAAAAGCGAAAAAATGCCAGCGCATTCCCGATACCTGCAACAGCTTGCATAATTACAATTAACGCTAATTTGCGGAACTTAGCGCTAATTACGCAGCTGCACTGCCGCAATAACAATAGTAACGTCGTAGCGTTGCATACTTATACGGTCGACATGTTTCTGGGTTAACTAGCAATTTCTGGTACACGCTCGACTATAATTATCTCAGCAACAATAGTAACAATATGTTAGGCTTTACCCCGCTAATCAAGGATTCATGCGGGAAATAATATCAAGTCAATATATATCTTATGGATTTTATGAAACTGCCATTAATCTGCGAGGGTGTAATTATTAATTAAGTGAACCAATATTTATTGCAATAGGCATTTAATGGAGGTATATTTGTTTATTAATTAATATTAGCGTTAGTATTGATTACTATATAATACTGGTATTTCCGCCAAGATTGCGTTTCGCACAGAAATGCAGAATGGTCGTCGTGCTGAATCATTATCATTTAATTAGAAAAGTAATGAGGTTTACGCAATAAATATAATTAACTATTATAATTCATATTAATCAATCTCTTTGTACATATTCGGAAAAGAGTGCAAACGTTGAAATTTAACGGGGATTCAGATTGAACGAATATTGAAAATCGAAGCGTTTTAGCTTTAGAGAATGAAAACTCTTACTAAATCATTATGAGTTTGCGCGAAAAATATGAATTAATTTTACACATGAGATAATATTTAAAAAATATCGCATATGTGTATACAGATTGCGTGTAAAAGCTCCCGTTAGTCAACTATTTTTAGTCGGTCACCTAATTGCGACAGGAATTTTCGCCCTCCGCAAAGAAGTGTGACAAGGTGTCTCTGGCTAATGAGACATCGCTTTGACAAAAACACCTTTCCTTTCCAGTGCAGTGTTACACTTTGAAGATTCGGATAAAGTTGCCGCGCAACAGAAACAGTCCCGCGGCGCTCGGCTACTTCCGCCATTGTCGTGCAACGATGTAAATTGTTGCGCGCAAAAATTTCACTAGCGCGTGGCGAAAGAAATTTTTAATATCAAGCGGGGAGTGCATAAAATAGCGGAAGAAAACGAGGGTGAAAAAGTGCTCGTCGTGTAAATTTTTGAAATTCTAAGTTAATTAAAAATGAATACGCTTCTTTACACGTTGTAACGATCCGCCGGCGCACGTTGCGTTTCCAGCACGTTCCGCGCGGCGAAAGTATAGACTGCACTCTCCGGAATTAATTCGGAGGTTCTGATTTCTCGCGGTGCTCGCTTTGTTTTTTCGCGCTCCGCATCTAATCGTCATCTCTTTTCGCAGATAAGCTGAAGGCAGAGATCGCGATAAACGTGCACCTGGACACGCTGAGGAGGGTCGAGATCTTCCAGAACACGGAGGCTGGCTTCCTGTGCGAGCTGGTGCTGCGACTACGGCCCGTTCTTTTCTCACCTGGCGACTACATCTGCCGCAAAGGTAAATCGCTCGGCCATCCGTTCTACCCAGCGAACTACTTCCGGCGCGGAGTTCTCGAAGCGTTTAGGCCGAGTGTGTGTACGTTTTCACGCACGCACACACATACACTCCTCGAGCGCGGGCCGTTTTAGCGAGGAAGAATTACAGCCGTAAATTAGGATTTAGATTAAAAATGTGGCCAAATGCCCCGTTGTTAGCAGTCGACTTCGCTCATCCCCGTCGCCATTTACGGCCCCTCGAGGGTACGAACCCTAGATACCAGGTCTCTTCCCACTCTACGCGTGATTTCTCCCCGAATTCGCTGTGTCCTGCTTATGAAAGCACACCGCGCTGGAAGCACGCCAAACGACGAAACGTGGGTGTGAAAAATGATTGCTCTTTCTCTCTCTCTCTCTCTCTCTTTCTGTGCCGTCCCCGTCACCGGAGACCGTCTCTGGTAGGCGAATATTTTTATTTTACGACCGAAAAAGTGACTGCCGCGCTCGTTATTAACGCGATAGAAGGAAGCGCGAGCCACTGTCTCTGTTCTCTGCGTAACTACTTCGGTGTAGTCCACTTGCATACAGAAGCGGCTCGTAAATTCTAACTGACACCGCCATTCAACACGCGGTCTCCGAAAATATATTTCTTTCATAAATACAGCAGAATTCAATATCGCTGAAAAAGCCACGGAGCCTATCAGTGTGGCTATTTATAATCAAAAATGATTTCACATTTTATTTTAGTACGCTAGCGTCACGGAACGCATCTTTCTTTTCTTTCATATTTTGTCTCGTGGAACGTTGAAAGTTTACGATTATTTAAATGACAATTATATTCAGGTAGCAGTTATTCTTTCGATATATCGAGAAATCTAGTCGGAACGGAGCTCGCTGAAAAATATGACTTCGCTATCTATTTTTGAATATTCACGACGCATTACGGAAACTCTCCGTGTATCCATGTTACATATCGCGCACATATAAAAGCCTACGGTTCGCCTGACATTTTTATCGACATATTTAGTAGTCGCTCTCGATCTGTGAGCGGTCGCAGGACTAATTTCAGTTTGCCAAAGCGCGCAAGTGCCGAGAACCGAATCGTCTTTCCCCGCGGATCGTTCGATCTCCTATCCACTTTATCCTCTCGACGGGGTTTCTTTTCACCACCGGCGAAATGACTGCCATACGCGCGTAGGAATGCGGAGGGCATTACCTTCCCTTTGATGGGTGACCTTCCTTCTCGCGCATTTCCGCCGCGGCATCGCGCCGCGCGATTACGGTCGGAATTATGACTGAGCGTTACTACTTGCCGGACAAATGACGGCCATTCCTCGCGTATTCTGTCGCGCTCTTTTGTACTGGGTTTTTTTTTATTAAGATCGATTCCTCCAACGTGAATTAATTAATACCGATATTTTACCCTGCAAAAACATCGCGGGGAGAGATTTTTGCAACCTAGATCCGCGCATATATATCACATGTCCCAAACGGTCCACGTAAATTTTTGTGTTAATTTAACATAAGATGGATATGTTAAATCACACTAATACTCTGTTAATATTTGAACACAAAATAAATGCAAATCTCAAAATAATTTAAAATAAATTTTGTGTAAAATTAACACATTTTTAATGACAAAATGGATTTTTAAAAATGTCATTTTTACATTTTACAAATGTAATAAGTCAAATGACGATTCGAAATCACTCTCACTTATGTTATATAGAATAAAATCAACGTTTTATTCTGTAAATTTTAACAGATAAATTTTGTTACTAATTAAAGAATAAGTACACATTGTGTTGTTTTAACATTTGTTTTCAGTATTTTAATAATTTTACATTTGAGAGGTCAATTAACACAAGAGCAATATGTCAAATTAACACATGAATGTGTTGAACATTTAACGCGAAAATTGTAACCGGCATTTTTTTTTAACAAGAAAACACAAATTTTCCAACTGTGTATGTACGTAGTATCAGAAAGGGGTACCAGCTCTTGTCGAATACCAACTTGAGATACAGCAACCACTGTACCTCGGACCAATGGTGCCGACGGCTTATTATTTTTATAGACTCATAAAAAGATACTGCATAAAAAGAGCTGGGATTTATGTTAAGCACACGAGACTTTTTATCCCTCGGAGCGAGGGAAGTACGACTTGTAGCGCTGCTCCTTTCTGCCGGGCTTTGTTATCGGGGATTGCCAAGATACGTAAACGCCTTGATTAAGTTAGAGTCGGGGATAGGAACGTGGGAATAATTAGCCTTCGCTCAGACGTCACTTTTCTTGTGCGATTGCAGGTGAGGTGGGAAAGGAGATGTACATAGTGAATAGGGGCCGACTGCAGGTGGTGGCCGACAACGGGAAGACGGTGCTCGCCACCCTTAAGGCGGGTTCCTACTTCGGGGAGATCAGCATTCTCAATATGGGGACCGCAGGTAAAGAGTGCGGTAAATATTCCAAACGGACCAGGGGCCCGTGAGCTGTCCCCCTTCGTTTTTCACGATCACGTTTTCACGTTTCACGTTCTTACCACTCTGTGAGAGGGCAAGCCGTCGAGCCGGTATGAGCCGATCTAAAAACGATCTCTCTAGCAATTTTTCACTATCTCTCTTTTTCTCGCAGACTTGTCCCACTTGTCGATCTTCACCTTTTTAATCGCGATCGACGTTCATGCAACGACGTCCGCGCGGTAAACAAGACTAAAATTATCCGTAAAAAGGAACTACGAAACGTACTCTCTGAAAGTCAATCAGCGCACTATCGCTGACAACAGTTGTAAGTATAGCACTAAATTATTCGTTTTCAGCGATAACCCGCCGATTGACTTCTACAGAGTAGGAACATTAATTATCGCCTAGCTTTGAAGAATATTAATTCTTCGCATTGAGGAAAAACTTACGACGTAAACGGTATTTAAGAGATAGCCGAAGTAAATTTGAAAGATATTAAAATTGGTACCGATATAAATTCCATGCTTTCCATCAATCGCAATTGGAATAGAGGCAACAGGATTCTTTATAATAAAGAGAATGCATTTCTTTATTAAATTATACATCGACACTTGCATGCGCCTCATTATTGTTTATTCGGTCGGGAGCGATGCATTTCTCGTTACTGACACAAAATCTCGACAATACAGTTATCACAAATTTCTCATAACCCATTCCAATCTGCATGCAAGAGAAATAATACGGATAAGCATTACATTATTAAATGCTTATTTCCGGGATGTTTTCAAAATTAAGCGTAATCTTCAAATTACGTTTTAAATAAAATTAAGCGCGAATGTAAATTTACGCAAATATAAAATAAATGAGCAGGGAATTAAATGAGCCTCGGCCTCTCCGTTATCACGCTCGTGGATATTATATTCTCTCATATACACCGAAAGACGAGCTTTATCTAATTCAACTGTGATTGACGCCGCGTTATCTATCCTAGTGGACCGTGGACAATTTCGCTGGCTGCATAGAATATTTTTCTATTAGCTTTGGACTTGTCGCAGAATTTATGGCACGTCTAGTAGTCACCGGAAATTTATTGTGCAATTTCATTATTTTAATGTGCCTCGATGTGGAGCACATTGTTTTTATCGTTGTAAACGCGACACGCAAATCAAAGAATAGACAAAAATAGAAAGAAATCTTTTTACAAAGGAATATTATAAATAAATATATCTCGATGGGCATCAAGTGAAATTAGTTTCGTGACGCGCGGTATTGCATCAAATGACCGAACGGCAACCGACTCGAATGGCCACTTTGCATTCGCTGCGCGCGCGCGTTGACGAAGGAAAATTAACGGGGAAAAATATTTTTTCTCCGGCTTACATTTTTTTTTATTGCGCGATTTAATGAACGCGATAGCAAAACCAGGCTTCCAGAGCACCGCGAAATCGCTCGAGCGTCTTTTGGGATTTCGCCATCGCTCGAGGGCGAGGGGGGGGAGAAAAAAAGGATTGGCAATGCAAAGTATCACTCGAATTTCTCTGCATCGACAATCCTATTGCCCCCGCCTGTCAGGATAGAACCGTCCGTGCGCGGGATCGATGGCGGGTCTCATTCTTGTTTTCGAGGACCGGCTCCCGTCGAATGGCTCTCGTCGAGACGAAAAAATAAGCGCCCAACGGCCGCCAGCGCGTATAAAGAGTCGCCTCGGAGACGGCACGAACTTTATTCTCCTATCGAACTTCTTTCGGAAAACTCCTTCCTCGAACGAACATTGCATTCGCATTCGTGAGGAAACTTGGCGGCTAATAAGAGCCCGCGTTTTGGCCGCCATCTGAATGATCTTAATCCGCTTTAAATTGAATTTTCTCCTCCCCGTATATTTTCAGAGGTCGATCCACGCTGTTATTAAATTAAAAGAATTTAATTTTCTACGATACTCTATATTTTTTATGAAATAGTCGATAAAGAATCTCCCTCTTATTTATGCCGCCGGCTATGTCGGCTTATCTTTTTAGCAAACACAAGCTCTATAACTCCGCCACGTATTGTACCTACACAAACCGGGTAATGTTGTCTCGCGAAAGTGTAAAAAAGCTTTTCATACGCTGTTACTCGTAGATAACAGGATGCCCGTTCCAGGGTATTGCCGTGGATTCCGCGGGGCGTTTTCACTCGTGCGAACGTACCAATCGCATTTCGTATTGTGCTTGCACCGAGTCAGATATTTTATAATCTGTCTGCTTATCTAGTAAACAGTAACGGCTAAATGAATTCCGCAAGCCAACGCGGCGATGTCCGTCGTTGCGAGACCGTCGACGCATCTCGAGTAAGGCCCGTGACACGTATTGCCCTTTAGTCTCCACCCCTCTTCAAGTCTTTCTCACCGGCTACTGTATTCCATTTTATTTTTTTTTATTTTTTATTTTTTATTATTTTTTTTTACGATCGACCGGAACGACCGACCGAATTGTGACGCACGTCGTAAAGTGTCCGATTGAGAGCTCCCTTCTTTACGACGCCTGTGCGGATTGCCGCGGAATTTTTGGCGACACCCGCGTTTCCCGAGAAAGAGACAAGCCAGGCCGAATCGTCGTTCGATAACGCACCGAAATTATTCATCGGCCCTCGTTTTTATACGAGGACGCGTGCGTAAGTATGTCAATCGAGCGAAGACGACGACTCAGCCCCTCGCAAGGCGTACCGGTCGATATCGGTTTTGATGAATCATATTTTTAGCCAGTCGTGCTCACAATTTCTATTTCGCTTCCGTAGCTCTGTTAGAAGAAATGGCTTAGAAGTGGATCCCTCGATTCGGATCCATTTCCTTAGTCGCGCCCCTTTCAGCATCATATATCTTCAGCATCATATATCTTTGGTACTCACAATCGGCGCTGCAACATCACGCTGGGACTGTTACATTTCTTTTCTCTTATACTTGCATATTTCTTAACTGTTATCTATTATAACCGAAGGACGGCATTTGTAAGGGACTTGTCCGCTCGTTCGCAATGACCGCGCGGAGATGGGCTTCACAGGCCTGTGTACACGATGCTAGAACCTGGTCCGAGTTCTAGCTTTGAAAAATACGTGGCCAATCAACTGGCAGCTGTTCCATAAAAGCTGCAAGCTGATTGGCTGCACATTTCCCGGAGCTAGAACTTGGAGCGAGTTCTGGGCACCGTGGACGCAGGCCTTAACACAGGTGAGATTCGGTTGCTCAGAAGAGAAATTGTTATTGCGACAGTCGTTTACAAATGCTTCCTACGAGCATCTCCATTCTCTCTCACGCGGTATTACAAGTTACTATTCCATTGCACCATTCACGTATCTCTCTCTCACAATCGCCATCACTCCCTGACGTAGGCTCTTATTGATGATTGTAATTTTTACTGCTGTGATGCTGATTTCATACGTATTGACCTGCATTCGGTTCCGCCAATTACCAATAACTATACATATATACACATCTATATATACGCACACACACACGCACACACACGTACAAATTGATTACAGTAGTTTCTAGTGCCCTTTATCTTAGCCAACTTTTTTTTAAACATCCAGTATAACTATGATTACCTTGATTTATTCATGAAGGAAGATGGTCGATTTTGTTAACTTGCTTTCGCCGTCCCAGTACGCGCAATGAGAGGAAATTGTCGATAATGAAAAGCAAAATGGACTGTCTTCCTTCAAAAGCATATCCACTATCAAGCATTGATATATATATTGTCCATTGCAAATATTTATTACAAGTACAATTGAACGCAAATAATGATGATGGGAAATCGTTGCGAGAAAAGCTACAGCGAACGTATCTCGGCGTACGTGTTTATTAAAAGATGCACAACAGCACAGCGAGTAACATTTGCGCGTCGTTTGCGTCAAGATATCGTCAATTAATCGCGCAGTCCTCTACCAAGAGCGTAAGAATAAAATCGCAAAGTCAGCATCGCCGTCTCGTTAGAACACACGCTTATTGCACATAAAAAGAACTTGTAAAGAGCGAAATATCGTCTCACTTAAACGTCTCGCGAGTTCTGACAAACGAAAATGCTCTCGGGCGACTTGTATCCTCCGTAACACGTCGTGGGTTTATTTAGGAGAGAGCCGATCTGAAATAAGTAATTCCGATAGTCGAGGAGTATGGAAGCGGGATTTCCCGTCCGCCAAATTTCTTCGATATACGGTTAATGATTCCGAGCGTGTTACGGCGTTCGACCGAAAGCGAACGGGAGAAGCGGAGCGGGCGCGGCCTCGATTGCGTTCGAAATGCGAAAACTTTCTGAATAATATACGACGCGAGTTGTGTGCGCGAGCTATTTACAATTCTCACCGTGATAGAGGGACGCAGTGCCGCAATTAGCGGTGAGGCTAACGCGGGAGCGTAATTTTCAATCAGCCGCGAAGAATTTCTCCCGTCGCCTTCAGCTTAATTATTACAATTTGTATTACACGGCTCAGGTGCATTCGTAGCATATTAATGAGGCGGAACTTCCCCGAACATAACATTTATCTAACGGTTAAATCTTCCCCGGAAATTTATAAAGTTTGCTCTCGGTAGCTTCTGTTATTGCTACGTTTCAGACTGCGCGCACGTCTGTAGTCTGAAGCAATTACGCTCTTCGTTACCTTGTTAATTACGCGCCCTTTTACGCCGGCATATAAAATATCGCTGACACCAATTAAAGTTGTAAACAATGGCTCGGCCGCGTCATTATCACATTCTGGGCAAACTACTTTATTAGCCTAGTCCGCGGAGCTTCTTTTTCTGCCGGTAGCTAACCACATTCCATTCCGCGAAAAGCTGCAACTATGTGCAAAAAAAAAGGGGAGGAGAATGCACGCTCGGAAGCGGATAAATACGGCGAGCCGTGGAACAATTTAATTCGTAGCCACTATTATCCATCAATTTATCAGCGAACAAACCCCGAGCGATTGAACGCCTCTCCGAAAAAGTCGGGGAAACGAGCCGAGCGACTTGGCGATCAATTAACATAGTACATTGAACCGTGACGAATCTGATTAATCAAAATCACTGCGCTTTTACGGGCGTAAAACGGGCGCGAAAGTATCTTAAAGCGATAGCTCGCGCGCGCACGTTACGTATCGAGCGCGCAAACGGAACCGCGTGCGTCCGGGGATTGAGGAAACAGAGGGGCTGTAGACAAAGCGATCGGCAGATCGATCACGGCGCGGTTACATAAGAAAGCTTGATGCATCCCGATAACCAATAAATGGCTACATCGACGCAGGTAACCGGCGAACAGCCAGCGTGCGCTCGGTCGGCTACTCGGACCTCTTCGTCCTCAGCAAGAAGGACATGTGGGACGTGCTCAAGGAGTATCCAGCTGCCAGGGTGCGCCTTGAAGCCATCGCAGTCAAGAGGCTGGAGAAGTACAAGAGAGCTCCTCTGGAGAAAGGTGAGTCGAGCCTCCTCCCCCCCTCCCCCATCTCTCTCTCTCTCTCTCTCTCTCTCTCTCTCTCTCTCTCTCTCTCTCTCTCGTCTTTGCTCTCGCGTATATACAAACAGCTATCATATTTCTTTAACGGCGCCAGATAGATAGGGCAAATCGACGAGGCACCCCTCTCGAAACGGAGCAACTTTGGAAATTCTCCGCCCGAGAACGTTAAAAAGCTCTTAAAGACGCCACCGAATTTCGCAGACTTTACATAGATTTTACAACTAATCCGGCAGATAGCAAAAGTGCGAATTATAAAAGTTCCCAGTTACTCCTCGCGAATCGACCGATTACGACGACCGTTTCTCTCGGTCCGTTCGATAAAACTTTCACGAACGGGAGAGAGCCACCGTTAACTCGCCGACCGTCGGCATTGAAAAGAAAGCTCTCTCTCCTTCTGCGATTCAGTTCGTTTCTTCCCCGTGTCTTCGGCGCGCTGCGCCGAGCGACACGAGGATCGCTCGCGCGAGCCACATCCGTTACACCCGCGAAGCCCGGTATCGCGTCGGAAATACGCTTAAAACTCCATTTCAATTCACTCGTCCACGGAGTTGCGCGGAACAGATTCGAATACGACTGCGAACGCGACGCGTCTTGCGAACAGCTTGGCGCACAACCGAAACGCCCCGAATGCCTGAAACTTTCCTCGTTACCATCGTTAAAATAGCCAGACTCGCGGAAGTTTACGCGCCCTCGGCAAGGTAAGTTCTTCGGGGGCGCGGATGCCATCCGGAGAACTTCGAACCGGTACCAAGAATGGGGGATTCCATCAAGATATGCCCGTCGCTGCTACGGCGCATTAACGAATTAACCGTCGTGGAACGCTCGTCTGAAGTCTCGAGCATAATAGTCGTTAAAAGATGTCTTTGAAGCGGATATCCTGTATCGTGTTCTCGCCCGACTTCCCGGGGAAGACGAGCTGCGGATTCGACACCCGGCAGTTTGGAAGCGCAGCTCGGTCTTCCGTACACCTTTTTATTAAAATTAATGGTCAAGTTCTGTTTCCACCTCTTGAGAGAGGAGATCTCGAAGGATACTTGCGTTCTTCAATAAAGCTAGAAATGGACAAGCTTTAATAAATTTTTTATCATCCGATTATTAGCTGCCGCTGAAGTTTTTCTTGGCAAAAATTGGAATTAATTTTTCATTATTTCGCTTGATCGATACTAATTTTCTCATCTTTCACGGGATAAATTTTAACTTCATCACGCAACAAAAGTAGCGCTAAAGCTTAATAAAGCGACGATCGTAGTCAGAGAGAAGTTCCCCATTCTGTCTCGTTCTGTCTTTCGGATTGTGCTATAAAATACACGCGGGACGCCTAAAAAAATATTGTATACACTGCCGACTGCCTCGAGGGCTGTGCGATATAAAAGTGTATCTCATATCTCGCGAGCCTTTTATTTCCGAAAAACCGTCGTTCAAAATATTCTTTCCGACCTCAATTTTTGCTGGAAAAAACGCTCGCGGTGCTCCCCGCCTTCTCTCCGCGTAATCCCCTCTCGTTTCTTCTGCGAACGTAACGAGCGTCTAATGCAAGTGGGGCTGTCGTGCATGAAAAGTCGGTTTTTGAAGGTGCAGCCTTTTTACAGGAAAGTTTTCAAAAAGTCGACTTGACACTTGACAAATACCCACGAAAGGTACACAGTGTTTTTTCTTTTACCGCGTCTACGTCGCTCCAAGTTATTGAAGCGAGACTCGATTATACGTTTAATCCGCAATCGGATAAAACGCGCCAAGTTGCTCGAGTTAAATAAATTTCATTTGCCCGATGTTACTCGACAAGATCGCCGCTGTAAGACCGAGCTACCACTTTCCCGTTTGAATCTTGCACAAAGGGAAATAGCCGGGACCTTTGCCGCGGGTATACAGGTGAAACCTCAGCAACTCCATTCAACAGAGAACAATTTTATTTTTCTCTCGCGGACGGGGTAGGAGGGATCCGAAGCTGTGCCAGGAATAAGCGACTGTGTATTATGTTTGCCGCGCAGAGTTCCTCGACGATGCCGCGCCCGAAAGTTTCGCGCGTAGCACGCCGAGCGAACTCCGGCCACCTTGTACCGCAGGGTGAGCAAAGGGTGGCTGCTTTGCGCGCGTCGCAGTCCCGGTTTAATTAATTAAACTCCTCAGCTCGCCGCTACGCCTATTACCAGCGCACGCTGACGAAAATCTTTTGAACGGAGGCGCAACGGAATCGCGTCTTCGCCTCGCTGAGCCCTTTCAAGCGCGCCGCCGCGCTACGTGATCCTCGATACCCTCCGCGCGCGTTAATGTCTTGAAGGATTTTCGATCGTTGAACTTCGGTCAAGCTTTTCAAAGATATATTTCCGGAGCGGCGCGGAACTTTCAATGCGCGTTTAAACGCCAAACGCGGCTCTGTATATGAGCGAGCGCGCGTCTTGTCGAACTTAAGGTGAGTTGCGAAACGAAGACTCTTCATGCGAGTTTAAAGGAGAGGATGTGTTAATGAAATACGCTTGTTATCGGCTGAGCTTTTATTTACGCGTTTCCCTTCAAAGATTACAAAGTGCACAAGTGTAACGTAAATATATTCGCGTCGCTCCTTTCATGTTGAGTCACTTTAAGAAATGTTTAAATTGTACAAAGAAAAGAATATTCTTCTTTCGAAAATACTATATGTTTAGTTTCAACGTGAAAATCTTGAAGTGAGGTTACATTGCGTTAAAGGTAAAAGCTTACTTGAATGGAGCACGGAGAGACCGATATGGTTACCACATGTCTAATTAGGGTTGGCACAACCCCAATCAATAGTAATATTTGGAACAGCTATATCTGTGGTTGTCGTACCCACATTGGTACGATAAGTAGTGGAGACAACTATATGCGTTTTGTGCGGCAAACTTAGTGAATGTTGCAACACGAAACAACGTGGATGCCCCTACCACTTATACGGCAACACTTTTATTTTACACTCGATTTCGAATACTGTCACGATAGGTGGCACTTGGGAATCAACATTAGACTGTTTATTGCGATGAGTATTGCCATGTGCCTCGGTGGTCGAATTGGTTGAGACGCCCGCCTAGCGAGAGGGAGGTCCAGGTTCAAACCCTGGCCGAGGTGATATTTTTTCGCAATAAATTTAGAATAGAATATTTAGACCATCCTGTCACGGCTCTGAGTCCTTTAAATTCTTTGAAATTTGTGTTGAATACATACGAGCCTTACTAATTTATTTAACTTTTATTTTAGTTACTTTGGCCTAAGCCGACCTTTCCGTGAGCAATTTTATATAGTTCAATCGAGAAAAATATGTGCTTATTTACCCATACAGCACAGAAAGTTGTTGAAGTGACATCTATAGTATCTAAATAAGACTGTAATATTGTTGGAATGTAAGATTATAAAACGCTATTAAGAAGACTAGAGATTGTTGGGTAAATACAAAATAATGGATGCGTTAATTTGAATATATAAGAGCGGATCTGACACTTTTATTCTGTGCAGAGTCTCGGGTGTTTTCAGACTTTACAAACGGACTTCTGTAATATTAGCGCACGTGTCGGACAACTTTTTTCCGACATTTTATCGTCATCTTTCGTAAAGAGAGAGCCTTCGACTTCTCATTGCGAATAAAATGTTTAACGTTACATCGCGCGTGTACGCGCGAAGCGCGGGGAAAATGGCGCCGTCTCGATTCAATGCCCGCGCACCGCAAATTCGCCGCCGCTGTTTTACATGTTTCCCTCATATGTCTCATTTGCCTAATGCCAGAAGCGCACGCGGGGTAAACGTGAGATGGAAATTAGACGGTCGCGTTTAACGCTAAATAGGCGACGGGGCGAGGGCCGCTATCTCGAGGACGTCTCTGTCTCGGGGATTTACTCGTCCGCATGCGAAATGTTTTCGTGACCTAATTCCCGACGTGTACGTAAAAGCGCGAAGAATGAACGGGCCGAGGGTACTCAGCGGCGAAAGTCGATGCCACGCTGATGGAGATAAATGGGGGTCCCCGGCAATTCTTTCCTTCCGGGTGTCTCGTTGATCCGAAACCCGCGGAAACGGCGCGGTCAGAATACCACGATATGGCGGTATCAGCTTCTGTAGGGTTGCTGTGTCTACGGACCGAGTATCCCCCCGGTCTACCTTTCGTTTCTTTTTTCGACAAAATATGTGCGGCTATATTTGTGCGGATGTCGCAGGAACCATCGTCCTATCAACCATAAATTTCGGAGGGCGAATGAAGGAAAAGGGAAAGTTCCTGATTTTATCAGGACTAGAGTTTATTATCGCCAATATATAATTAATGAGTGTAGAGAAGAATGTTAGACGACCCAACTGGCCAGTGTGTATTAGTTAATTAACATCTGGTTTTATTTGCAATAAGAAGTCGAAGGCCCTCTCTTTGTGAAAGATAAAAAGAAAATGTCGGAAAAAAATTGATACATTTTCGTTAATATTACAGAAGTCATTTGCGAAACTTGAAGAAAACCCGAGACTCTGTGCAATTTTAAACAGACGCTCTTTCTTCTTCCGGCCTGAGACAGATTTTATTTCTGCGCTCCTCGTTCACTCCTACTCTTTAGTGCAATATTTATTATTAACCGTAGGTTCATTCGGTTCTTAACATTTGTAGTAGTCGTTTTTATCGATAATTGACATGGCAGCATCGAGTCCATTAAGGACCCATTACAAAATCATAAATGTTCGTGAAAATCAATCGGTGAAAAATCTATAAAAAAAAAAGAAGAAGTTCACAAGCCGACATTATTTATCGAAGGGCTTGTGTTTTAAAATTTATGCAACTCTTAACATTGCCGGTTCTCCCCGCAATCTCCTTAAGAGCAACGAAAACGGCGTTGAATAGAACGAGATGTTCCACTCGAGCGCACCCCGAGGGACGTCGCTCCGCTTCTTTTGATGAGCTATCGCCAGTCCATCGCCGTATTTTCCGGTAATACGCTTACGCCGCTGAAATTTATTTCGTTTATAAAACTTTTCCGAGCCATTCATCACCATCAGAACGACGGACTTTCATTCGGCACTCATCCCGTCGCGCGGCCAATGTACCTTCGCGCCGCTGCAAGGGATGACGTATGGGAAATTAGGTCGCTGTAATAAGTGTAATGCGTAACGTGAGTTACGGCGGTGAGTTATGCGCGAGGCGGAAAGAGAGCCTGCGTGTGTAGGCGATGCCAAGAGCGAGATCCGTCGGCTTATCGATCCGCCGCCGTTATCGGAGCAACGTCCCCTAATTAACATAAAAGTGAAGAGAGAACACGTCGCCGTCTGTAACGTTAACGAGTTTACAAGTACGCGACTCCTTGCGGATTGCGCAGGTCTACAGGCCCGTGTCCACGATCCAAGAACCGTGTCCAAGTTCTGGTCCCCGGGTAATGTGTAGTCGCTCAACTTGCAGCTTTTACGGGGAAGCTAGAACTTGGACACGGTTCTCGGATCGCGGACACGAGGCTTTTACGGAGAGCTGGGCATTCGACAAGGTGAAACTGCGCAAAATGATAGTTACGGGCGCACGCCTGCGTAAACGAATGACTTATACTTAGATACTATCTAATTGAAATAGCTACAGAGAATCGCATCTCGTGCGTCACGAAAATAACAATTTTTTTGGGCTCGCCGTCGCGTCCGCTATTAGCGTCTTGATCCGCGATTTACCCCTCGTGACGTCGTGATATTTAAAGGTCACTTTAATTACGAAGGATTTTTAATTTAAGTGACCCGTGCCCACACGTTCTACATAACGATTTGTTGTGTTATTAAAGCCCTTTCGACTAGAAACGTTTACGAGTACGGCGCACAAATACGTCTCTAATTCGTTGCTCAGCGTAATTTGGTGCTTTACACCCACATCTTTCGACCCGCGAATATCCGTTATCAATTTTTCACAAACGTGAATCGTTGAAGCCATTGATACGTGCATACTTTTTAATATGCATTTGATTAAAGTTACATATATTGTATATCGAATTCTTTTCAAACGCTTTTCGCAGAAAAGCATACAATTATGAATAAAACTCACGGCACGTAAGTTTCACGATAAATAAGATTATACACGCAATTTTCTTTACGTGGCACATACGTTCTCCGAAAGAAGAAACCGCGGAGTTTTTGAAAAAAACTGTATGGAAGAAAATCGCGTCACATATTACGGAAAAACCACGTAAAAAATGATGCCATATAAAAAGTTCTCTTTTTACATGGTTCTTTTTTAACTCGGTATGTATCTCTGCTCGCTCTTTTAATATGGGAGAACAAGACAAACTTGCATTAATTCATTATATAGGAATCAAATTAAGTCTGCACGTACGCAAGAGATAACGAACAATTTTGCCGGATACCGCGTGGTTTAGAAGAACCGTATGAGAATGCACAAAAAAGAGAACGGCGTGAGAAGAGAGTTGGGGGATAAAAATGTAGTTTGATTTCAAACTACGGATCTCCAGACTCACGACGTAATGAGCAAATCTCTTTAACGATTAATTGTCTTCGCTCAGCGACAGTGACATTGTCGCGATGCTAAAACCCGTAACAAGCCGAAGGCTCGTGGCATTCCGCTCGACGATCGAAGGATCCGCATCAAAGTGAAATAGCGTACCATTGATGCCACTGAATACTGTCGGCGTCGGTTAAATGTCAACGCGCTCCAAAAGCGGAAATTCGAGAGCACGTACGGATCGTATCGGGCACGACGTGCGTAAACACGATGCATGGATAACTCGCATTGCGAATGAATGATATTCTCTGATATAAATGGCTAACTCACTCCCGTGGTTTCCCTGTATTTCGTAAATTCCGGCGACACACTCCGGTCGCGCTTTTCGTGCGCGGTGGCAGTTTCGCTCCCAGCAAGATGGAAAAAGCGATCGCGCATCTCTCTCTTTTTCCCTGGACCATCGGATCGTCGCGGTTTTTAAAATAAAGCCTCGCACAAAAGGTAGACTTGGAACCTTTTGATGAAACTCGAGGCACACCGTGAACGAAACGCGGAAACATATACTATTTCACGTTAATTAAATTAACGCGAATTTGTGGAACCATTTATTCATTTTCTCATATTAATTTTTGCGCCGCACGAAATGCTTCGCCAGAAATGGAACGTGTTAATCATGTTTCATGTATATTCCAACTCAAACTTCTCTCACTAAAGCTGTATATTTTTTCTCATTTTATAATGATAAATAATTCTTTTAACGTAATCTTAACGTAATTATTTCGTAATATTTGTAGTAAATAGTAAGAAGAATATTCAATTCTTCGCGATCCATTTAAATTTGCTGGGTTTCTTTTCAGAGAAGGACAGACTGACAGAGAGAGAGAGAGAGATCCTATTTAACAGAAATTTACAGAGACGTTAATTAATAAATTTAAGCCAGTGCAAAGTGTACAAATGAATATCAGACAATACCGAGCGATATAAATTATTTTAATGCTGATAAATAATGTAATGTTAAGCTGATGAAATGATCGTGTTACTGAAGCGAGCTGTGAATTTCCAGTCGCCATGGGCAGGTGCCAGAGCACGCCCGGTCTGGTGGAATCGCGAGGCCGTATATCGCTGGAGGATATGTGGGTATCGCCGATCGACCTCAAGTCCAGTCACGCGTACTCGACGGCCGCCTCGTTGTTCTCGCCGAGCCCGAGCCCGGTGACGTCTCGCGCCATGCCGGGCGCGGGGATCGCGGCCGACGCGAACAACGTGCCTAGGGGTGCGGAGAGCCCGATAAGCGGGGCCAGCAGCGGCCCCAGCAGCGAGGACCAGACGGCCAGGGCGCCTCCATCAGGCGTCACCCAAGCCTCCACCGGCAGGCAGTCCACGCACTCCGGTAAGTTAGGAGGCCGTGGCTTCCCGTAGAATTTCGCCCGACTTAATAAGGGGGCCCCGCCTCTTCTCTCCCCGAGAGATTCTCAAGGTTCTGCCGCTCTTTGAAAAGGATTCTGACGAAGAGACGGATATGGATCCTTCCATTCATTGTGCTCTTATGTATTATAGCATTCCGTATACCCGGTATATTTATATCACAGATCGCAACGTGTAATCCTCTTACGGTTTTGCCAGTGGTGGCTGTAACTACTGGCTGTAATTCAATTTAATTGACTACCGTGCCACGTACCTCTGGAAATACCGATGGCTCGAGCGGATCAATGGAAATTTGGAGCTGTCAAATGAAAAGTAGCGACATTAATTGATAATTATTACACTGAATGACAAATGGTTTTGTGAGAAAATAGCTCCCTTTAAACAAAATGGACGGCAAGGAATATCGCACGAGTGTGAAATAAGTGGATTTGCCCTCCGCGGAGTTGGAGTGGATTCGATATAATGATTTATGAAAAGTAGCGGATATTTCTGTAAGCATCTCGTAACGCCGAGTAATCACGCAAATTGTATTTTCCGATCATCGATAAAATGCTGCAAACGCGACGGGAAATTTTATCCTGTCCCCAATCATGTTTGATATCTCGTAAATTCGTTTTGCCTATGTAGGACAAATTTCATGTCAGATTTATTTTAAAAAAATATCATCGATCGCGTTTACCTCTGGCGATTCCTCTGGCGACGGCATTATACCGGGGTATATAAATCATTGCCGTGATAACCGGGGACCGGCGCGGCGGTGTGTTCGCGCAAACTGCTGACGCAAAAGCGTAGTTTCTTATAGACTATAAGACTTCGCGATTAAGTGAAGCGCGAACACGGAGAGAATAGGAAGACCTTCATGGCCTCTCACTTTCTAGTCATCAATATTTCACGTTCCATAAAAGCTTTTTTAGAAAGGCCGTGTAATGTTTGTACCATAAACCATTGATGTCGTTACGTTCGATTGAACGTTTTGTAATAAGTTCCATCCTGGAGATATTTTCAGAACAAAAGACTCTGAAACACACACACACACACTCATGTATGTACGCGCACGCGCATATACAGAGACCCAGATCCTCCGCAGCATTATGGAAATTGTCATCATTCATGATATTCCGAGAAATGCATTTTATTGTTTATCGTTACGAATTCATTTATCTCGGCAAATTTAATCGTCATATTTGAATAAGCTTTAATTGCTTATCATTGCTCATGAAGAGGAAGATTGATGAGCCGCGGACGCCCAGCATTGTGCGAGTCCCCGGAAGAGGAACTTTATCGCGCCTTCATAAACGAAAGGATCGCTCGGGCGCAATCTCCTCGCGCCGCGGATCGTATTAGAATTCCGCGGGAGATGCGATCCCCGTTGCAAATCAAATCTAACCGGACGTGAGTAACGCGGGGCGCGCGCGCGCCGGGCGCGAACGGTTCTCCTCCGCGCGTTTATCGGCGGCCGTAAAACGGCAAAAAGGTAAATTCAGAAATATCGCGCGGATAATGAATGACGAGCGACGCTCGGCGCCACTCGTAAAATAGCGCCCGACCATTAACCCCGATAGATACGATAGGTAGTAACGATTTTAACGTGTTTCTGCCGACGTTTATATGTCGTTTGGGGAATAAAACCCCCGCGTCCGCCCTATCGGCCCGTGCCTCCCCGCCGCCCTCTTGGCGCGCTGAAAATTCCGCTGGTAATCGAGCGTTTCCGCCTTTAGAGCGCGCGTATATGAACAAAACGCGGCATGACCTACCCCGCAATTAAAGCGACAGCTTTCGCTGCGGGCGGGTAACAAATTCGGATGCGAATCGGCCAAACGAACTGATAGCGATTTAACCGGCGGGATATCACCGCGCGCAATATAATCACCGCTCCGCCCATGTAAAATGAAAAAGCGATCCTCCGAAATAGCCCCCGAAACACCCCCCCCTTTTCGATTTCCGTGGCGAGCGTTGACGCGAGGAGTGACGCGTTCGGAGACGAGTTGTCTCTAGACAATTGCCCGGGTTTGCCAGAACGCGTCCGGTGGAATTGGTGAATTAGTCAGCAGTTTGCTGATGCTAATTCTCGTACGTATCAACCCTCGATGCGACCGGGCGCGAGACGGGTTCATCCTGTATGCGAATTCTATTATCGCGTCGGCGCGACTGTTGGCCGAGAGAGAGAAATACTAATCGCGCGCATTAATCAGCATCAGCGAATCACAAAGGCCCGCCGGCTCGCTCGAGGTTTCAACTCGCATTCGTACTCGCCGGACCGGCCCGGATGGCGTGCTGTTAAGTGCGGAACTCGTTTGTCGCTCTTTCCACGCTGCTCATCTAACTTTCAACGACTGATAATTGCGCGCGCTTGTACTGCAACGGCGGACGGAAAAACAAAACTTTACATTCACGAACATACGTATATGAAGCTGAATATATCTCTCGCCGAAACGCGCGGTCCCTGTATTAGGCGAAAGGACAGAGAATGAATAAAAAATAGATATAGCGAATCAGGGTCCCTGTAATCAGAGTCTGGCCAAACCCTGCGGGAGATACGTGTACATTCGCCGTTTCTATCTCCTCTTTCAGTTTCTTTTTCGCTTCATCTAGGACCTATAAAAAGGTTGCCGTCTGTCGACCACCGGGCTCGATTCTTGAATTCATTCGGAAGAGAAACGAAAATTCTGCTCTCGCGGAAAAGTTGAAAGTCGGCTGGTTGAAATCCATGCGAACAGCCAATCAGCTTGCAACTTTTCTGTAAGAGCCGAATTTTCGCATACATTTCTCCTTCGAATGAATCCAAGAATCGAGACTCAGGCTCTGATTAGAGGGAGTCTATGGAGACTAAATGGACCGCGCGAGCTGCAACGGCACGAATTCACGACCGCGCTCGTCTCTGGTATCATTTGTTAATTAGTGCTAAGCTTGTGCACGCGTATTTGTCCGTCACGAGAATCCAGAGAGTGAATTTTGCGAAGAGCGTCAACAGTCGTGACGAGCGAACGACTTGTCTTGTTTCAGGCATGACTTGCAACAGCATGACGCAGCTGATGAGCGATGTTACGACGCCTCTGTTTGGCACCCACGAGGCTCTGCTGGCGGAGATTCACCGTCTCCGCGAGCGCCTGAAAGGCCTGGAGACCGAGAACGCGGCGATGAGCGTCAAGCTCAACCAGCAGCAGTGGGAGGTCGAGCACCGGCTGGCCGAAATCGAGATGCAGATCTGCGGGGCGAGCTCGACCTCGAGCGTCGAGGACAACAATGAGAGAAATCGGGAGAGCATTATTTAACGAGAAACAATGCCGCGAGAGCGCGGCAAGACCAAGATCGAGCGGATACGCCACTACCTTGTCGGTGCCGCTGACACCAGGTGCCTGTTACATCTTGTGTCTTTTCGCCCGCGCGTCTTGTATCATTTTATTTCTTTTATATTGCATTACTACGATCAGTTGCAGGATTGTTGCCGACGCTTCGCCGTTTGCATGTGTCTTTTCTCTCCTCGCATACACCACGCATACTCAATTTTGTAAAATCGCACTCTGCGCACACCCGCACGTTGCAGTCGCTATTATTACTGACCGGCCCGGTGCTTCCGCAGGTACGGCAGTCAGGAGGAGCCGGACGACGCGAAGGTCCTGAGCGACACCAAGTCGATCGGTAGCTTGAGCCAGCATCTGTTCGAGAGCGACGAGGACGAGCGTTACTACGGTACCTGCAACGGCTACGTCTCGCAGCCCGGCAGCAAGTCGAACCTGCTGCTGTGCAGCGAGTGCGATCAGAAGACGCACACCTGCACCTACCGACCGCAAACGCCCGACTCGCACGCCGGCCGATACGTGGAGGAGCGTATAGAAGATCGGCATCAGGAGCCGGGAACCTCTCGTGCCTACAGAAGCCCGGTGAAGCTGTCCTCCCCGCGCTCGTACCACCCCGATAAGGAGCGCGTGGCGCAGACGTCGCCGCGAGCGTACCGCGACCAGGAGCAGTCGGCGCCGATGATCACGTCACCTCGATCCTACCGGACGCAGGAGCAGCAGCGGCGCGGATGGACCGCCAGGGACACGGACGATCGAGGTGACGTCGACAGAGGCGAGTACCTCGACCAGTTCTGGTCCGAGGATTGAACAAGTTCGTTCGCTTTGCTTGATTCATTTGAATGGCCTCGTTGTTCTCCGACGATCCGGCGTCCACCCACGGTACACGCAATCGTTTCCAGTCTTCGCACTTGCGTTCCAATCTGGGGGAACTCTTACTTCTCTTTGGCGACAAATTTTACCTTTTTTTTTTTGCCTTTTTCTTTGTTACTAGACTGCAAATCCTTAGTGAAACCCTTGAGTTTGAAGCCTGTTACGGGAATGGATGTTATTTATACGTGACGTGGCTCGCAAATACGTTAGCTCGCAAAACAACTTTAGCAGAGATTAGGGGGAGTAGCTTCGCTCTCTTCTCTTGTCCGTATCTGGAAAAGCTACACGTAGCGTCTTTCCGTTTGATTTCTCGCACGCATTTCTTTTCCCGGATAATTTGGCCGCTGCCTGCATACGCATTTCTCGCTGACGCTTCGCGCGATCTCCGGGGCGACTGCCGTTGCCGGAGATTGCCTCTCAGGCGACGATCTTAGATCGCGCGTGGCAACCGTGCGAGCTAACCCGCCGATCTGCTCACAGACCGCGAGAGCCCGATCTGCGAGCTCTGCCGAGGTAACGGCTACGTCGTCGTGCACTGCGAGCACTGCGACTTCTCCAGCGACGGCGATCTGATCTGCTTCCGCTGCCAGAGCGACGAGAGCTCGTCCAACGGTCAGGTCTGCCCGCGCTGCGAGCGGGAGGCCGGAGTCACGTCGAGCACCGGCAGATCCGGCTCCAGCGACGAGGGTAACGGCAAGTACCCGGTGGACGCCGTGGTGAAGATCCAGGTAAACGATCGGACGATCGACATCGACGACTCCGACGAGACCCCCGAGAGCGAGAGCTCGGGCAATTATCATCCCGCGAGGGGCGCGATGGAGCGGCTCGACACCATCGTCGAGTCGAAGGGCGACACTGCCAGCGAGAACGACGAGGAAAACGGAGGCGGCACGAAGCTCAACGGTACCACTGGCGCGAGATATCTCAATTACATGATCGTGCTGTTCCTGTAAATAAAAGACGACGCTGAGGTAGATGCGGCCCGGACCCGCGGCCCGCGCGACTCGCTCGACGCGGAATCGCTTGTACATTATTGAGCCGCGCGGCAATTTTCTCTAAACCGACCGGTCCTCGCCGAGAATCTCTCGGGGATCATCTCAGTCGTAGCTATCGATCGAAAATGTAACGAAACTCATTTCTACCCGCGAAATCCTGGCGTCGCTCGCCGCTGGATTTTGATAGTTGTACTTTGAGACCAGCGACGTCGCGTCCCCGCAACGCGCCACGATCGATCCGCGAAATTGGACGGCCAGCGCGATGGCGAACGCAGAATCACTTACGCACCGATGACGCTAATATCAGGGGGCCGCGGCTCGGGCCGCACTGTAAATAAACTGCCACTGGATATAATTGATCCGTACAATATAGAACCGTATAGATTAATTAATAGATAACTCGTAATAATTAAGATGCAGATCAAGCGAGGCGGAAAGAGGGGAATATAGAGAGATAGGCAGTGTGCGTGTGTGTGCGTGCGTGCGTGTGCGTGCGCGTGTATGGGTGCGTGTATCACGTTCGACGCGCGCAGTATTGCCATGAGCTGAGATCCGTGACGCAACGGTCGACACGCGACTCTTGGAGCGGGTGTGTGCAAAGATCATAATTACTCGGTTGCAGATCGGCCGCGGGGACTCGTGCCGCCACTAATTGTAAGGGCGGCGCGTCGGTAATTTGGACTAATTAAAATAATAGAAAATCAAGCTCGTTCTACTCGACGCGATGTAAAGGGATTCCGCAAGTCGGTTTAATTAAAGTTTATACGCCTTGCCGCGATATCGACCCTTGGCAGCTACGAGCGTAGGCACGAGTTGGTAAAAACAAAACGGAATTAGGGCACAGCTCGCTAATTGTTATTAGCAATCTGCTGGGAACTTGGATTATTGCTCGTTTCTTCTCGTCAATGAGCTCTATATCTATTTCCGACGTGTCGAGGCTTGAGATAATTTGTAAAAAAAACTGTTGCTATTATTTAGCGGTGTCTACGGGGCGAACGGACGATATTGAGCACAAGTAATTACGATTCTTGCACAACTCTCTACTAACTCATGTTCGGGACCAACTAAAGCCATCACCTACATCCACCACTTCCGACTTCCGCTTCCATCCGTGATCATCGTTCGTTCATTCGGTCAAAAGCAGAAGGGATTTAGAACACGTTGAACTCCGGGATAATCTTCCGATCCCGACGAAAATCGGCGACATCGTGTCGTCTCCGTAGCGTATCGAGACGGTCGGACCGAATATCTTTATTCTCTCTATTGCGAAGAAGACGGGACAGAGGGACGCGTTTAGAGGCGATACACGAGCGTGCGAAACCACCGAATCTCGAGAAAGGGCGAGATAGGAGAGAAGAGACGACGTTTCGTTCTCCTCCCACGTTTGTAACACGCGGCAGCGATTTTTTTTAACGTTTACAAATTATGGCATAGGCTCCTCACTAGACGTATACGTTTTTTAACGTTCATCTTCCAATTCCGTGAGTATCCCGATGTGTCTGAAATTTCCGGCGTGCCGAAAGATGGATCGAATTTGGTATAGACGAAACGTAAAAGTGAAGAAGGTAACGAAAGAAGTGGAAAACCGAATTCTCCTTCTTTCCTTTTCTTTTTCGAAGAGAGCGAGGAAAGTAATCCGAGCGATCGCAAAGTCGACAATTATAAAAAAAAAAGACGATTGAGACCGGTATGATTCCGTGAAGGGATGTATCTAGCGCCGATTTCGCGAATAAGCAGATTGTCCTAGCGTGCTTTTGGTATCGATACTTGAAATCACGGCGAACTGAGACGGGGAAGATAAAAAAATCTCACGTGCGACGGGATTAACAGTTGAGAAAGATTCGGGCACGTGCGCCAGCGCGCGCCGGCACTCGCCAATTACACCGCAATTATACCAGTGTCAATCTTCGAACTCGGGAGCGATCAACCCGAGGGGAGTGGAAGAGCAACATAAATCTCGCGGGGCTGGGCTCATGTCATCTGTATGATATTCACCGAACAATGATTACCACGTAAGGTATTATCCGTAGGAAGTATCAGTACCCGGTAAACTGATCCCGCCGTGCTGCGAAGTCGCGGTAACCCGAAGAAAGTGTAGAGAGAAAACGCAGGGAGGGGATGAGAAAGAGGGAACATCGCGACCGGTAGTTCAGTTCGGAAACACGTAGCGATTAAGTGCTCTTACTACGAAAAACAAATATATAAATATATATATATATATATACGAATGCTTCGCGAGGATTACAGGCGTGCGCCCCGCGCGATCTCGTCCGCTCGAGTTACGGCGCTCTCCGCGGCCGAGGGGGAACATCACTCTACTGCCACGTTGGTTTAGAACACCTCTGTAAATTTGTTAGAGAAATTTGTAACACGTTAGGACGAACACTTCGATAAACCGTTGAGATTTACATTTACTCCCGTGCGCGCGATTAGACGAGATACTCGAGTCTCTCCCGCCTCCGTCTCCGAGGGCGACCCGGGTTGAAGAGTACGGAGTCGAAATGTTCGCAAGACGCTCGGTATCGAGGCAAAGCGCAATTCGACAGTGCACCGGAGAGGAGCGTTGACCCTTCGCGGCTGAGATTATTTCTCGCGAATGTGCGGAAACCAAGTGTTTCATCCTCGACTTCGTCTTGTTAACAAGGAATTTTTATTGTTTTGGAAAAAATTTTGAAGATTCCAAAATTAGAATTTAATTACGATAACAAATGTAATTAAGCAATTATTAATTATTAGAAAACTACAATTAATTATAGGATATATTGCAGATTCGAATGTTTGAAGAATAAACAACGCGTCAGGTCTGTAGGACCGCAAGGGTCACAAAATTAGACTCGTAAGCGAAAGCTCTCGGGGAGCTCGCAATTTCTGGGCGTTTTATTATTGAAGTTACAGACTGAAACTCTCGAGCGGTTATCGAATAAGGGTCACCCTTTCACTTTAAAGTTCGCTAGAGAGTTTCACTGTGGAGAGCTACTCTCGCAAGGTACAACTTTCGAGTATCCAAAATTCAGCGTTTACACGAGATCACGCTTGTTGTAACGATTCATGTCCATTTCAAAGAAATGTCGAGGATCGCTCCAGTGGATATATCTCGGAAGAATGTTACATACTCTCCTAAGTTCATCGCTGAACAGTGAAATGATCTCCTTTGCAAGGTCGTACGTCGATTTTTTCGCAATTTCCATTTTTTCTGCTCAAACACTTATTCTGATCCAGAATGAATATTTAAGCAGAGAAACCGTATCTCGATTCTTCGCAATTTCCGGCTTTTCCGCTTAAACATTAATTCTGGAACAGAATAAGTGTTTAAGCAGAAAAAATGTAAATTGCGAAAAAATCGAGATACAACCTTGCGAAGAAGATGCACCGCTGCGATTGTACTTATAACTTTGATCAGTGGATACAACGGAGTGATTGACTTGAAGAGAGTAGAAATATCTTATTTAATTTCATTCTGTCGTTATCGAAAATTACTCCCAAGTGGACACGAGATTCACAGGGCAAGACAAGACATTGTAATTGCGCGCACTGTATCTCGACACCGCGCGTGTTGTCTGGAATATCGCGGATTTGCGAAACACGCGAGCGGAGGCTCGGCCAATAAACGGCAATAGCGCGATGTACAGAGAGAGGGAGGCTCGTTACGAAGGGATGAGAATGCGTTTAATCAGCCTTACTTAGACAATTATTATCTACATTATTATACTAAATTTGTATGCGTATAACGTGGGTGATTTGCGTACGTGCGTGTAGACCGCGGCGTACCTTAATTAACAAATCACATCCTCGGCGGTATGCGCTGTGGACAACGATAATCTACGAGCAACGTGTGATCGTAACGTAGACATGGTGCATGCGTGTTGTACATAAGCAATTATCATTTGCCGTTTACCCGGCGCCCGGAAAAGGTATCTTGCGTTCGGAGCTTCAGGATCCTGCCCTCGATGGAAATCTAATCAATCTTAACGTTAATGATTACATGTAAATAGCGTTGTCAGTGCTGTATATTTTACTGCTGTTTAACTGGCTGTGATATTTATATGTTGAGAGTTTAATTGTGATTAGCGATACTCTATGTTGATCCTGTTGAGCGTACAAATTGCGTACCCCATGCGTTTTATCGATTGGATCGATTATAAGCACCGCGGAATATACACATTACTCGTCGAAGGGATACATCGTTTGCTCAGTTCGCAGACTGTCGCCAATTCTCTCGTTTCTTGGTTTTCCCTGAGAATTTTGGGAGCGGTACCTTGCAACTCAATTAAAATTGCTGCTCGTGATTATTTATGCATTATGATAATTACTAGTTATCATTTTGTCATTGTTAACATTGTTATCACGATTAGTATCAGAGAGATGCGGACACTTGTAGCATGATGTACTTGTTAAATTTACTAGCGCAAGTAAACGATTTACGATTTAAGTGCCATAGTCCGAAGAGCGCGCCCGGATCAATCGGGTTTTCAGCCGACGATAATCACGCGTTGCTCCGAGTCGTTTGAAACCGCGAGTGAAGCCAGCTGTAAGGGAGATGTAAGATAACTTCGAGGTGATAGCGCCCGATACATTTATTACGGCTCGGAATACAATACGAACTTACACTCGATCGATATCAATTATCAATGATCAATCGGATCATCCTCTCTATCATAATAATCACTTCCGCATGACTGTTTGCGCGATATTGAGTTTATTGAAATATTTATTCGGTGTTACAAGCGACGTAGATGTGTACGGAGGGGGGAAAGAACGCCATTGGAGATTTTATGCGGCCGTAACGCCCGAGGTTCGTTACGAGACGAAAGAGGCTTGTTAATGACTGACCACTCGGCGCATCCATCGTGCAGGTTGACCCGTCTCTTTTTCTCTCATAATTCGTGCGCACGTTTCATTGCCTAATTACATTTAACGATTGAACTTCACGTACCGACGTCCGCCCCCTTAATTTCAATGACGATCTTTGAAGTCCAGCCTTCCCCTAGGAGAAAAAAAAAGAAGAGAGAGCCATATCGATCATTGGAGAGAAAAGTTTCGCACGATGATGTTTTCGATAATTGTGCATACAGTCGCGACGCATGTGTTGTTCGTCAACTTTTTATAAGGCCAAATTTACAAGTTTTGCATATATTTAAATAGACACATTACGTAGTCGAACGTCCGACGGTCGGACTTTCGGATAATCTCTTTACGTGGAAAGTGTCAGCGGGATTTCTGGATCGCTTTGTGGATCTCGTCGGTCAATTTTCAATTAACGCAGTGCCAAGTTTTACAATAGTCTGCCTTCGCACGTGGCGTAATACGAGCGGCGTAAAATCGCGCGCGCGCGCGGATTACGTGTGCCAAGAGATGTCGGCCCGGGATCGGCGAGATCGAGATCGTGAATCTAACCGTTGTTGCTGTTCGAGTGACGCTAATAGGCTTTCTTGAAAAATGAAATGGACGCGGTCGCGAGCGGTCGTAATTGTATATTGCGCTCTTCCATTAGAACAAAGCCGATTATGTCGGCATTAACTCCACAAAGTGATTCGGAAACGGTAATAATCGGTTTGCCTTTAATATACATTGCTATCGTGCATGCAACGGAATCCTTAATGCTTAATACGATTACGCTATTCCGCATCGGACGGCGGGAGTACGTGCGAGGATACATTATTGACATTCGTGCACCTTTACCTACATATAAAGAAAATACTTCTCCATTTCTTCGTGTCGTGAGAACTTTTCGTTCGTTAGAAGTGCGAGGGTAATTTACGTGCGGTTGCAATAGGTTCTGGAACGTCGTTGTTCCGCGAAATCTGAGAATTGGCGGTGAAATCGCCAATGATGAGACTAAAATTAGAGAGAGCTTGAACGACGTAACACGCATACGTGTGCGCGTGTGTGTAGATAAGCGATGATATTAGATGAATCGCGTAGGAAACATTTTGTCGCAAACGTGAACCTTTTCGCATAGATCGAAGAAAGAGGACCTTTAGAGGATACAACGCGGATTCAGCGACGTTTGATCCTATATCAAGTCGGAGCTATATCTAATTACAGAAAAAGATTGTCATCGCGAGAGATGTGCGAAAACGTGAGGAAAGATACAACGAATTTTTTATTTTTCTCCTAAGTTTATTGCAACTAATGCGTAATCGGTTTCGAGCATCGCAATAGACTTCTCTCTCTCTCTCCCTCTCTCTCTCTCTCCCCTCCCCCCCCCTCTCTCTCTCTCTCTCTCTCTCTCTCTCTCTCTATTGTGTAAAAATATCATTGCTCGTTTAATGATACTAAAAATATCGTGACTTCCGATTTAATATCGCTTCAAACGTGAGACAGTCGAGGATTTGTACGTCATGATTTTCCAATGCAGATTAATTGCAATTGCACATCTGCGAATATCGCTGTACCAAGTTACTTTTTGTCCGTGCGATATTCTAGGCATTTCCAGATCGCGTCTCCAAATATTTTATATATAAAACGGTCATATATATCTAAGTAGTTGAGCAGGAAGACTCGCGGACTTTAGTGAAGCAGGTAACGCAAAAGTCCAACAGGCGTCCGAAGGAAGCAAAAGTCGTTCGGATGCGGGACATCCTTCGGACAATTGTATCGCCTGAGAGGCACGGTAGAGACACTCCTCTCCGTTTCTCCGCGCGAATCAACGCGTCCTCGTAGTCCAACGTGATCCATATGGCACAGCTAGATATGATTTTCTACGCGCGAAACGCCCTCGAAAGAGAAACCGGCTCTGTCACGCATTTCTCCCGGTATTCCATTGTTATTTCGCTACCTCGATCACACGTCACGGCGCTTAGCATTTAAATCTATCCGATATTACATAACGCGAAACAGCGGGAGGGGCGAGTCACTCGATAAGGCTCTTAATGAATGGTTACTCAGGAATAAAGTTATAATGTAATAACAGTTGCGATATTGAATATTAACATTTAACGAACGACCTTTTGTAAATATGAATATAACAAATATAAAGATACACGATTGCATATATATACATATTATGTATGTATATGTACGCATAATATATACAAGAGATTTGTGCAGGACGATTCGGAATGGGCCGCCGGTCAGTCTTATTGTTAGCGTCGTTGCACTTGACGACCTCTAAAAAAAATTATTTGCGACGAAGAGAGATATATTGCCACGTCTCGCGGTGTTATCCAACTTGAAAGCGTCCTCGTCCTTTTATTTGCAGCATCGATCTCGCGTGTACGACAAGTCCGAATTATCCTGTACAATTTTACGATCGCCCAATAAGAGATGACAAGCCTGATAGAAACGCGTGCGTATATCTGCGTGAGAGAGAAAAAAAAGGAAGAAGAAAAGAAGACAAAGGGAGTAACTGCGTGCGCGTGTGTCCGAGTGCGTGTGTGCGTGTGCGTGCGTATGCCGAGGGGCGTGAATAAGAGAAAACCATGTAAATCTGTACGCACGAGATCAAAGCGAGAATTCACTTCCATTAGTGGAGAACTGACCAAAATGTCGACGACGGTGCCGCGATACGCGTCGACGATCGTTGATGTCGAAAGGTATAGACAACACCAAACAGTAAGGAAGGCGAAAAGGGAAAGAAAGGAGGATGGAGAGGAAGGAAGGAAGGAAGCAGAAAGACGGAGAGACGGTGAATTCGTTGAGAAGTATGCACAAGGTGCAATTAGCGAGCGCGATTGGCGCGATTAACATTTTGACCGCCGACTCGTAGGGACGTCGATTGGTTTCTCGCAATATGCATACGTTCTGAAATGGAATACGGTAGAAGCGATCGGCATGGGGGAGTAAGGTAACGATCGGCGGTCACAGTGTCATGACCGCGAATTGGAATCGGTTCAACGAAGCTCGGATCTCGATGCCGTAGACGGAAGCGAGACCAATGACCTCGGATGATGATGGGAGCCGTTGACGAGGTCTGCTTCTCCGTGACTACGCGATCGAAAGTCGTACTCGGCGTAATTCTAACGGTCTCGAATCTTTTGGTCGGAACAAGGCGCTGAGAGTGAGCGAGTGAGTGCCTGAGCGAGTGAGAGAGAAAGAGAAATCACCGATCCTTCGGTCAGGATGCACTAGGCCGTGTGTGCGTATCCCGACGCGTTGCGTACGTGCGTGGAGATTGCGCGTTTTTGTCCATTTCTACACGTATATCTGTTCTCTCCTACGACGATAGAAGGTTATTTTTAAATTTTCAAAACTTAGCTGTGCCGCAAGAGCGTGCGAGTGTCAGTACGATCGGATGTCAGTAGGAATCCTGAAATATAAATAGACGATTGAAGTGGACCGCAACCACGGGGGCTTTTCTTTCGTGACCGACGAATTCTCAACTCCCGCCCGTCTTCCCCACGCGCAGCATCCAGCGGTTGTTATTGCAATTGTTTGCCGTACGGCTGTCTCGTGAGACAAATGCTCCAAAGAAGTTGGTCGATGTAAGTGCGGACAAAAGTCTTACTTGTTAAAGAGTAAACAAATTGCGGACCCTTTTAAGTAGACGGTGATACGTAACGTGGTGCAGAAAAACTTGGGCGATTGAATCGCGACGGTCATTAAGTCAGTTGCGTAACTTCTTGAATCGCGACAGCACGTCCCAGTCATTCGGGGCCGGTTTCTTCCGGACAAAAGACGCCGCGGGTTCGAACTGCCCCTACCTTTGTTCGCTTGTAGCTTGCAGCAGGAGGAATCAATAAAATTTGGCGGGTTGCAGTCCGATCAATAGTCGAGTTTTCGAGAAAAGTAAATCTCTGCTCAGAAACCGCGTCTATCGCACATATTTTCAATGAGCTAAACGAACGTAAAAAATAAAACGAACGCATTATACCGCAGTCTGCGTGGTCCTTAAGGACGTTGCTCCGGAGGAATTGGAACTCTCGATTTTTTGCTAAATCGGCACCGTTAGAATGGAAACGCTAAATTGTTCTTACGAATTGGCAGAACGAAGGATTAGAAAGTAGCAAGGAGCAAGTAAAAAAAAACTATTAAATTGGTAGCTGAATTAGTTCACGAGCACATCTATTGAACGCCACGTTCTCGTTAGTATTTTTATTACTTATTAGATATTATTCGTTAAATGCTTATTTAATGGCTACTTAAATATTTATTCCAGTTCTCATTAAATACTTATTTAATAAGTATTTAAATGAGTGTCCCACATATTAAATATTAAAATATTTAATGAGCATATTAGTAAACGCTCTTACCTTGTGACACGACATTAAATTCGACTTTAATTTTTAACGATATATGAGAATTATAGTTTATAAGTTTTTATACATCCATATATATGTCACGTATACGCGCATTAATTAACAGTCGACATTTTCGCTTTCGGCGGCATTAACTAATATTGCGAAAGTGGTGTTCGAAATACGTGCATCTTGCGCAAGCACAGATGTATACTATTCATTCACGGTTTCCGATGAGTCATTAATTTCCGCATAAGAAGCCCGAGTACTGTGACATACATGACAATAACACGCGCGCGATACGTTCCATGATTCGCGGAAGCACATTCTACTGCCTATCAATTGATAGCAGGAGCGTTCATTGTGTGGGACGGTCGTAGTAGCCGGGTGTAAAACTGAAGTATCTAAACCGCAAAGTTTTATAAGTACAGTGTGAAAGTCGCAAATTTATTTTCTCCGGTGAGAGAAGAAGAAGCGCGTTCAAAAAGAGCACGAAAGTTTCTCGATTGTCGAGCGAGTTATTTTTATTCCGGGGAATTAATTAAGCGTGACTCTCAATAATTATTATCTAACAGTAGCAAAGTCGCTCTTTAATTATCGACGGGTAAAATGGAATTTTTATTAATCTTACATTTCCAACTGCGTAGCTTTATATCCGCTCCATTTTCGCAACAAAAAAAAAATGCGGACAGATCGGATTCGAGGAGAATTCATTATTCGACTTCTCAAGTTGAGTGAAATTTGGTCCACCGGTCCGTGATTTTGAGATCAGACGTTGGAGTTGTTCGGTGCAAAGACGATGCATTTCGAGACGAAAACAAGGCAAATAGACGAGTTCGCCTTGTGACATCGACGGGATTGGACGAACATCGGTTGCAAAGGTCCATGAAAGAAGAATGTCATTGTCGTCGGGCGGGCAGGCAGGTAGGTGGGTTCGCTTCGTAACGTTTTACAGGACGGACCATAACGAATACCGTTAACGCTCCGTGAGAGCGCGATCTCCTTTTCTTTTACCTTTCACCGTTTATCTCGATGACCGAATTATCGATCGCGTTGATATCTCGTAAACGGAACGAAGTGAGATACGTCAAGACGTATCTTCTCACTCGGCAACCGAAGAGACTGCCGCAATTATAACTCGGTATAAAATCGGCATTGTGTTGCAGCCTCTCGTCCTTTCTCCTTTCGTTCGGTCTTGGATATGCGAAAATTTCTAAAATGTATACGCTATCTCAAAGTTTGCCTTATCAAAGTAAAGTAACGCAATTATGCTTCACTGTATGGACAAGCGTTCGAAGAAGCTTCTTAATGCTTGTTTTCTTTCGATCCTTACTAGTTGTCGAAAAAATGTAACGGAGTTAAGTTACAGTTACAGATAGAGAGAAAGTAACAAAGTTAAGTTAGAATTTCAAAAAAAGCAACTATATAACTGCAACTTCGTTAAAAGTAACGAGTTACTTTCCAACCCTGTAGATTTCCATTGTGTTTTCTAGGGGAAACGGAATCCATTCCGAACATTTCCATGATACCCTGGGGCTCCATTTCGTACACGGCTACCGACAACTATCGATATCGTTAACGACTTATTGCGGACCGGGCCTAACCGTTCGGCAGTATTGAAACACGACATTGCGAACACAGGACATTGTATAGCAACATTACAGCAATATCGTAACATTAGTGGGGCTTGATTCTCAAATTCATTCGGAAAAGATACGTGTACAAAAATTCTATTCTAAAGCCCACTTTACACGATCTATAATTCGCGACAGAATTCAAGATAGAATTCTATTTTATAATTTCATATATTAAATTGACATATATATGTTTGTAGATTAGGTTAGTGTAGGTTATAACATTTACATATGGATGAGGTCCGTTTTCCCGGTCGATTGGACACAAATACTCATAGCAATCAATGCTTAAGGTTTTTCATTAGACCAAATACAATTAATGAGTCACGCATTTTCATGCACTACACATATTTGATGCATCTTTTCTATTTACAAAATTGGAGCATTATAATTATAATTCTGATTGTTCCAATGTTTTCTGTATTACACGATACATAAAAATTTAAAAATGGAATTCTGTCTCGAATTCTGTTGCGAATTATAGATCGTGTAAAGTGGGCCTTACAGGAAAGTTGCAAATCGATTGGCCAAAGGCTATGCGAATAGCCAATCGACTTGCAACTTTTCTGTAAGAACAACATTTCCGCATACCCCTAGTAGGACGGTGCATTGGCTAAACATTGACTAAACATTGGTCCCATGTTGGTTACGTTAGAAATCGATTGGCCGATATTGTCCAACGTAAAGCCAATATTGGCTATGGAATAGATGTAAATATTGCACAATAATAGTTATACAATATTAGATTTATACTGGAAGTGCATTGGCCAATATTCAACAATGTAATAAGAACATTGGTCTAATATTGATACAACATTGAACCAATATTGCTAAATGGACATATATTGGCTAAATAAGAGAAGGCGTCCATCTTACAACATTGGACCGACATCGGGAATACTATAGATCTACATTATTTCCCAATATTGCGCCAATATATTGTGTTACTGAAGACTGTACTTTCGCCTTCAAGAATCAAGCCCATGCAACGTTGCTGTAACGTTCTGTATTTGCTGGGAACAAATCGCGTGCGGCGCGACAAAGGGCGGTACACTCTCGCCAGGTGCCGAGCGGCTTCGCTGGACCGCGCTCGCGGATGGACCGCAAGAGAGAGAGAGAGAGAGGAGAGCCCGACGTTTAGCGAAGCGCCCCGCGATTCGGTACAACGGCTTCGCGACGTCCAGCCAGACGTTGCGCACGGACGCATAAATGCATATCCGATTGCATCGCGAAAGCGCCGTCTCGCTCGCTCGCGCGCATCCTATCGCCCGTCTTTCTCTCTCTCTCTCTCTCTCTCCATTTCGTCACGCGCACCCATACACGCGCGCATTATCCTAGGAGCGCACCTGCACGTACACGCGCGCGAGCCCGCGTGCGCGAGTGTGCGCGCGCAGAACCGTAGCCTCGAACCCGGACGCGTTTGACGACGAGATGGCGTTGCACGACGACGACGACGACTACCGGGGACGGAGGGGCAGGGGGAGGGGCGCCGATTCCCGTTGAAAATCGAGGAGAGTATCGGCGATCGCGGTGAGAGAGCGGCGGACTCGCCGGTCGACCGCGCGGGCGTCCACCGGCGCGAGTTCGCGCACGCCGTTTCCGGCGAGAGGCGAACGCGGCAGTGCCGCGCGCGGGCGGCGCATGCGCGCGGCCGGCGCTGGCGTCGCCGGCGACGGGCGGCGGCGTCTGGTCGCGAGGCTAGCCGCCCGAAACGCCGTGTGTGCGCATGTCAGTTGTGAGCACGGTCTCTTTCTGTCGTGGCACCTGGAGGTGAGTGGTTGTTCGTAGATCGCGCACCGGTTTACTATCCGACGAATCTCCGCCGAGGATATAGCATCGGACGACAGGTACGGAATAGAAGGTTCGCCCGGGCCGCGGCGTGCTGTGCTGTGCGTATAGTTTGGCGATCCGGTCGCGCCCCGTCGCGTGAGTCGGCGTCTTCGGCGAGGGCTCGCCGCGCGCGGCGGTGCGCCGCATGGCCGGTCGCTCGGTCCGTTTCCGCCGCCGGCTGTCGGGGCGCGCGCGCGCGCGTGCCGGCGCGGCGGCGTCGCCGACGGCGACCGTCCCGTCGGTCGCGGCGGCAAAATCGCGGGCCGAGAACGCGGGTGAGGGCGAACGCCGGTCGGCGCCGGGGCGACGGCGGCGGGCGCCGTTCGCGATCGCGAGAGGAGCGGACCGGATGCACTATGGCGGCCAGCGCTTGTCAGAGCGCTGGAGCCGAGCTCGGGGATGGATTCGCCGAAGGGGCGCGGAAATTTCGGCGATCGCGCGATGGCTGGATCGTTCGCGCGCGCGATCCGCGCCGGAAAATCGCGGTGCGGGACGTCCGCGCGTGCGGTAACGGCAGAGCCCGAGAACCGGAAACGCGAGGTTAAAGGTTCTCTCTCCCCCCCTCCTCCTCCTCTCTCGCTCTCTTTCTCGGTGTATCGCGAATCCGGCCGTGTGCAACGCCGACGACTTCTGGAACGTGCCGGGGATCGATTTGCGCGGGGACGAGCGGACGTCGCCGGCGCGGTGTCGCGAAAGGAAGGGAAAAAAAAAAGCGGAATTCCACTCTGTCTCCCGTTATACGCCCGAAGTTAGAAATCCAAGGAAGGATCGATCGATCGCGCACGTTCGATCCCAAGGTCCGCGATGAAACGCGCGCGGGGAGAAAGGGAGCGAGCCTCGTTAGCTGAATTTTCTCGCGGGGAAAAAAAACTGGGCGGTATCTCGCGGATTCCGTCGCGCCGGCCGCCTTGGGCGCCCGAGCGCCCCGGAGTCTCCGTAATTTTCCATGGCGAGAGCCGCGTGCTGGACCGCGCGAGGGAGGCGGTGGCGCATATTTGGCCACCTGATCCGCCACGTTCGCCCGAGATAGCCGCGCGCGATCCCGTCGATTCGCGGAACGTCGAGTCTCGCGCGAATCTCGCTCGGTCCATTCCCGAGTTTCGCGAGGAGGGAAGAAAAAAAAACCGAGAGATAGAGAGAGAAAGAATTCGTAATAAAACGTGGCATCGTGCGCGGTGCCGAGCGTCGCGGCGATCGTGGCAACAGCGCGCCGCTCCTCCTCGTCACTTACAAAATGGCGGCCGGCTGCCATTCCCGAATGTTCGCCGTCGGCCACGTGGACGGCGGACAAAGACCGCCGTGACGTGCCGATCGCCCGGAGTCCGGGAAATCCGTTGCGCCATGTGGCGCAACGCCGCGCACCGGCCGCGAGATCGCCCGACTCGCGGCGCGCGACCTGCGAAAGTCCCCCTCGCGGTCTCGCTCGCTCCAGACTCGCCGCTCGGTTCCATATTGCGTACCGCGATTATCCATTCATCTCGGTGCGGACGATCGGATAGTCGCGAATTGCGTTCACATCCGCCAACGCGGATCAGCTTCGGCTCGCTTTTTCCCCCTTTTCGATCCTCGCGACTGGAAGAAAAAAGAAAGAGTACAGAATTGAACCGAGATCGAGGCTGGTCCGCGTCGGTAGAAATTGACGACGGCGATCGAAGGGCCCGAATTTTCCCCGGCCGACTAACTAATAGAGCTACATTGGTTTCTTTTGTTTGCAGAATACTGAAGGCACTCTCTTAATCCTACAAAAATGGGCAAGGAAAAGATTCACATTAACATCGTCGTCATTGGACACGTCGATTCCGGCAAGTCAACCACCACCGGTCATTTGATATACAAATGCGGTGGTATCGACAAGCGTACAATTGAGAAGTTCGAGAAAGAGGCCCAGGAGGTAAGGTCTCACAATGTTTGTACACCCTGTAAGAACACCGCGTTGCTGCTGTCTAATGCGTGACTTGCTACGACATAATGATGACGCATTTTTGTTTCTCATTCGTGGTTTCCACTGGAGGGTTCGAACCCATTGACGGTCAAGAGCGTCTGAATGTCCTAGCTTTTTCGATGATATTAGAACGTCGGAATGCGTCCGACAATGATAATAGAAGAGTCCGAAGTGGCGCGAGTCTGATGGAAACGATTGCTTTTCAGATGGGCAAAGGTTCCTTCAAATATGCCTGGGTACTCGACAAACTTAAGGCCGAACGTGAGCGCGGTATCACCATCGATATCGCCCTCTGGAAGTTCGAGACCGCCAAGTATTACGTGACGATCATCGATGCCCCTGGACACAGAGATTTTATCAAGAACATGATCACCGGTACCTCGCAAGCCGACTGCGCGGTGCTGATCGTCGCCGCCGGCACCGGCGAGTTCGAGGCCGGAATTTCGAAGAACGGACAGACCCGCGAGCACGCCCTCCTCGCGTTCACCCTCGGCGTCAAGCAGCTGATTGTCGGAGTTAACAAAATGGACTCCACCGAGCCGCCGTACTCCGAGACTCGGTTCGAGGAGATCAAGAAGGAGGTCTCGTCGTACATCAAGAAGATCGGCTACAACCCGGCCGCCGTTGCGTTCGTGCCAATCTCCGGCTGGCACGGAGACAACATGCTGGAGGTGTCCTCCAAGATGCCCTGGTTCAAGGGATGGGCTGTGGAGCGTAAGGAGGGCAAGGCCGAGGGTAAATGCCTCATCGAAGCTCTGGATGCCATCCTGCCACCCACCAGGCCAACTGACAAGGCTCTTCGTCTTCCCCTTCAGGTAGTACCGACGATTTCTTTTTTCTATGTCCCGCTGTTCTCGATTGCGCCAGCAACTTTTACATGATGATAGCCTTTTACAATTTCATTCGTGGTTTCCACCGGAGGATTTTCAATCCTTTGACGGCCATTGTTCGTCTGATTCTATAAGGGACACAAAGTAATGGTGGGCTTCGCTGAAGGAGCGACATTTTAACGATTCCTCGTAATTGCAGGACGTGTACAAAATCGGCGGTATTGGAACGGTACCTGTCGGCCGTGTCGAGACTGGCGTATTGAAACCAGGTATGGTCGTTACTTTTGCACCCGCTGGATTAACTACCGAAGTTAAGTCCGTCGAGATGCACCACGAAGCCCTCACGGAGGCCGTGCCCGGCGACAACGTTGGTTTCAACGTCAAGAACGTGTCCGTTAAGGAACTGCGTCGTGGATACGTCGCCGGAGATTCCAAGAACAATCCGCCCAAGGGTGCTGCTGACTTTACCGCACAGGTAAACGCTCGTTAACTTCGCTCGCGCTTTCGCAATCTTCTCGGCACTGTGATGAAAGCTCGTGTTCTCATTCGCGGTTTCCACCGGAAGGTTTCTCGTGACGGTCGAGTGTGTCTGAGTGTCTTGATATTAAAGTTAAATGTTAGGGAATTCGAAGGGATTTTTAAACGCGTAAAGTACGAGACATGTAATTAATGCAATTGTCCGTTTGGCACGCAGGTCATCGTGCTCAATCACCCTGGTCAAATCAGCAACGGATACACGCCGGTGTTGGATTGCCATACGGCCCATATCGCCTGCAAGTTCGCAGAAATTAAGGAGAAGTGCGATCGCCGTACCGGCAAGACCACCGAGGAGAACCCGAAGGCCATCAAGTCTGGTGACGCCGCCATCGTCACCCTGGTACCCAGCAAGCCCATGTGCGTCGAGGCTTTCCAGGAGTTCCCGCCCCTGGGACGTTTCGCTGTCCGTGACATGCGTCAGACAGTAGCCGTTGGTGTCATCAAGGCTGTCACCTTTAAAGATCAGGCGGGCAAAGTCACCAAGGCCGCTGAGAAAGCCCAGAAGAAGAAATAACTATTGTAATAGTTTCCGTGCATACACCGATAGTTTCCGTGCGAATATGCCACCGGGCGGACAACGGCGTACACCAGCCGACGCACCTCATCCTCCTTCGCACGACTCGCAAGAGACGAATTTGACAGCGTCGTCTACAGCGGAGTCCCTCGTGAGGACTTTAACGCGAGCTACGATCGGAAATGAGAAAACAATGATCCAATCGCGAAGATTGGCCCATCGTGCATGCGGGATCGCGCGACTGCCGCGCTTCCTCGACGCGCGGACATTTCGCTTGTCGAAATGGCTCCGTCACTTTTTTCACCGCAAGGAGTTTCGCAGGAAAGAACACGGGACACACGGATTTTGCCGCTGGCCGATATGAATTTTCGTCTCGTGGGAGTCGCTAGGAGGAAGAGCGAACTTCGCGCGAGCTATCGTAAACAACGTACACCTACCAACTACTTCATAACGAACATCAACATAATTTAGCGCGGCTTAATTATATTTTCTAATTACTATACGGAAATAAAATTCTGTATATATCCGATACTCGAGAAGAAACGTGTTATTACTACTCTTTTTCGACATCGTTACTCAATTGGTGACTTGTCAAGATTTAGCATCCTTTTGAAGAAATGTCTCATTTTTATCGCTCGGTAGCTATACAATCTGATCGGAAGAAAAACAAAATATATATATATATACACATATATATATCGCGGCGACGTCCGTCATTTTGTCTTGGTAGCTTTTTATATTAATCGTTCAGACTATTAATTCAAGGAAACTTAGTATAGAGAAAACTAGTGGGCCTTTACAAGGATAGATTTCGTTGGGATGTGGGACCTGTTGTTTCCTCTGATTAATCTTCCCATTCAAATGTAGGTAAGACTAATTCAAATAATGGTATTGAGAAAAAGAAACTTTTTTTCTACAAGGTATTCCTTTTATCAACTAATGTTAAACAGAAAGTGCATCCACAAAAAGCTCCACCTGATTCTTCTACATTGGTTAACAGTTTTCTGTACATACATATAAATACCAGCGATGACGAGCAAGAGCGAAAATAAAGAAGCTGCGGAAATGAGACGCCGGTGATTCACTATCACCAGTATACGCAAACCTGATTCCCTTGTCTTCCTTGCTACCCGTCCGGATGCAGTATCAGCACTTCCACGAAGACTCCGGGAAGAACGCTGTTGGATAAAAGCGTGAAATTCAAGCGCAATGTGTTCGATTGCACATAGAGAGACCCAGTGAGAAATTGACCGAATCAACATAGATCGACGAGTCATTTCCCGCTGGAGACTCCAGGCAGTGTAAGTGTATAGGGCGGAATTCTTTAATTACATGGTCAACTAAATGAAAATTAATGTACTCCACTTTCGTCCAATGCTCTACGCGCGAGTTGCTGCAACAATTTATATCTTGTGTTTTATTGTCACTGTTTAAAGATACTTCGCGCTTAATTGCATTGTTTCGATTATTCGTGAAGAGATTGTGGTTGCGTATTTAGTATGTACATTAAAGAGTATTTTGTTTCGAGTACGAACATTTAATAGAAAAAGCATTTTTGGGGAGTAATGTAATTATTCTTTTTGTTTAATTAAAATTTATGCAGTATGTAAAAACGTGCGCGATTCTAGCTACGCTTATACTTTGCGTCAGACATTACCGTGTTTCATGATGCTTGAATACATAAAATTGCATAGTAAATTGAATTGCCTGTACGTATAAAGATGTTTTTTGAAATTTGTTTTGCAACACGCGTTTTATTTCTTTTGCTCTATATTTCTCATCAATTGTCATGATTGGAAACCATCCGCAGTATACCCTTTTACACTTTATACTACTCCCTCGGGGTAAGCCGTAAGTAGAATTATCTTTAGGTATAGAACTGACATGAGCTACCACGGCCCGGTTTTACGTGATCCTCGAACGCGATTCGTCTTCTGTGGACGTGAACTACGTAGCTAATGTCCACGTTTGGACTAAAGCCCGCTGCAGGCGATGCTATTTTTCCTGCTGGATTGCTTGCCATTTAGTAAATTACTAGAAATCCTGAGTGGTGCAATGATAGTAATTTATTAGATTGCAAGCAATCCAGGAAAACGCTTTCAGTACTTTTTGCTCCTAGAACTGTCAATCTCTACGCAAAAGCCACATAATTTGTATATTACACAAATGTTTTAACAAATTGGCAATTCTAGGAGCAAAAGGTGCCAAAAGTGCAGAATCCCCTTGAGCGGATAACGCAGATGTGCACGCTTTGATTGTGTTCCGTGCATGAATTGTCGATTAAAACGGAGTTGCACATTTTTTGTCAAACAGTGTACGGCGTGACTTATATGTACTGCAAAGTACATGCTTAGATGGGACGACAGATACACTTTTATTTTTAATACTTGACGAGATAAATATTACATTGCTTCCAGATAACCCCGGTGTATTATCTGCTTCACCCGAGTATATGCACGTGTCTGACCAGCCACCGTTTCGGGTGTCGCGCATTTTTACGCCGTTATGCATGTCATATTCTCTGTTTTAACCAAAAGCACAAACTGAGCATGCCGTGCGTTGTTACATTTCGTCGGTGTAACAGATTTCCTAACCCTAAAGGTCAACTTTAGCAATTAATATCTCGCTTCGCGGGGCAGAGCGACGATTTTGCCCGGGGAAAAAGTTGTTTCTCTTTTGAAAAACGCGTCGAATGAGACGAAATTTTACTGACTTTTGAGGTGGCGTAGCTGTACTGAAGAACTACCGTAAGTTTTTGTCAACTCTTTATTCAGCTGCTACGGATACTTACATCAGTTCTCTTTTGCGCTCCAGAAATGTCCAGCGAATGTACGAGAAAACTGAGGAAGAGGAAATCCATTTCTCTAGACATGAAGATCGAGATTTTAAATCGACTCGAGAGACTGGAGAAACCGTCGTCGATCGCCAAGTCGTACGGGATAAACGAGTCGACGATCCGAACGATAAAGAAGATGGAGAGGAGCATCAGAAGTAGCGTGTCCTCCGGGTCCTTGACGAGCCTGAGGTGCTCCTCGTACACGAGGAATCCCGCGATAGAGGCCATGGAGAAGGAGCTGATGATCTGGATCGCGGATAAGGTGCAGAGGAGGGTGCCCGTCAACAGTTCTACGATAAGGCAAGAGGCCGTGAACATTTACAACTCGTCGAGAGAGCGTAGATCCAGCGATCAGCAGCCCAACTTCTCCGGCAGTAAAGGATGGTTCGAGAAGTTCAAGAAGAGATACTCGCTACACTACCACATGGGCGACAACGGCGAGCTGTTGGATCGCGAGTTGATCGACGACGAGTTGATTGACATGATGTCCGCGCACAACGAGACCCATCCCGCCGACGAATCCGGCAGTGACGCCGACGAGTCGGCACCGTTTACCGCGCAGAGCATTCACGGGGCTCTCCAGCTGGCCGCGGAGCTGGAGAGCGCAATTCTACACATGGACCCGAACGTTCAGCGAGCCTCGAGGTTTCGACGGGACTTGAGAAGGTGTTGCGCCGAGTATCGGGAGATTTACGAGAGTCTGAGCAAAAAGAATCTCGAGGAGAAACCAGCCGGGGAGAGATACGCTGGTGACGAAATCAAGGTGGAGGTGTTGAGTATTTCTCCCGAGGACTTTGCATCAATCAAGAAGAAGAGACCGATCGCTGTGAATTGCAGTACTGACAACGAATAAAATTTCAATCCGCCCCGCATCTTCGTTACTTCTGTGCGAATACAAATGCGAAATAAATATTTTTGCAATGCGTACGCGCGGGCTCTTCCTTTACGTATTGTTTTGCTTTTGCATCTTACATCAGGGCAGACTACGCGATTCTCGGCTGCGTAAAGGCTAATCTACGACGTGTTCTTTGCGTATAGAAACGTTCTACTTTGTAGTCAATAAATACGTATCGATTTTCGATTCGAAAATTCTTCTGCGCGATTGAAGAACGCATAAAAGCCAACCCGAGGGTTCACGACTTCGTATAAAGAACGAAGAGAAATCTAAAATATTTTATAAGAGAGAGAGAGAGAGTAATTGTAGTTAACTACAGCATCGCATAATGACATTTGTAATTTCTCTTCATTTTTCATTTAAAGTCGTGAACCTTAATCGTGTGGACGAATTTTGCAAATTCATAAAATCAATTTCACACGAATCAAAAATTTCAAATACCAATTTCTTTTTTTACTAGACTTTCGAACCGTGTGTTTTAAGTGTGAAAATGTTCTGCCACGCAACTTATCCTGGTATTATTTTGTGTAGAGACCCTGTAATCAGAGACATGCCATAAGAGTTCGATAAAAGAAGTGAGCCTACGTTTCCCTATCGCTCGCAGGAATTTGACGAACTCGCGTGGCCAGTCTCTGATTACAGGGTCTCTAATTTCGTTTTAAACGAAACGTTTCTAAACCGATCATAAAAAGATTTACAGGCGTAAAAACTAATACATATGTTCGAACGCGTCGGTAAAAAAGGACGACTTTAGGATCCTCCCGAAAGGAACCACGTGGCACGGCGTACTCCGCGTAAATCGAGGGACGCGGACGTGCCAGCGCGACGCAGTCGCGGTCATGACGCAGGTGCGTTCGGCACGCGCGCTCGGGAGTTCTGGCGTCTTTCGCGCGGCACCCGTGAGTCGTCGAGTCCCCGGGAGAAGACGAGGATATTGATGGAAAGCGCGGCCGGGAGGAAGAAACGAGCCGCCGACAGCGTTACGTCACAGGGCCGCAACGTCCCGATCCGCCGCGCTCCGACCTTCGCCGAGCCGATCCGAGTCCCGCTATGAGGTTAGGGAGTGTTTACCTGTCAAAGCCGCGGCGTCGTCGCGGGGAGACGTAGGCGAGACATGCGGGAGATCTGATCCGCGGAGGAGACGGCTCTCTCTCTCTCTCCCCCCCCCCCCTTCTTTCTCTCGCGCGGAGGTCGAAGATGTTCTTCCCCGTGGGATGGCCGCGGGTCCTCAACACCTGCGAGCAGGGCAAGATAAACGCGGTGGTGTGCAACAGGGACAAGAAATTGTTCGCCATTCTCACCGCGGACTCCCTCGTCATCTGGTACTGCAAGGCACGTAAATTGTAGGCCGAGCCCCGCTTTCACCCGTTCCGCGTCGCAGTCTCGACTCGCGCCCCGCGCGAGGATCCCCCGGTCTCGCCGGACGTGAGGTCGTTCGGCGAGATCGGGACCGTCGCTCGCGACTGTCCGATGACATCTGCGTCCGCGAAACGTTGACAGCCGGGAGACGTGAGATTTTTCACCGCGCTACTGCGCCCGGCTGGTCGAAGGCGGATTTTGCGGAGTGTACTTTTTCCCCTTGTAATTTCCAGCGTTTCTGCATCTGGTAATCTGATAATTTGTGTTGCAGCCCTGCGTGCCGATTGTATTTAGCAGAAGATCTGCGAGTTCCTTGTGGCAGCACGGCGAGAACGCCTTGGTGCAATGGAGGCCGGATTCGAGTATGCTGGTTATCGCGACGTCCGAGAGCTACCTGCTGTTCTACAGGCTTTCGGACAACAGCGCGGAGGGCCCGGGACTTTACGCACAGCGAGACTCGCCGGTCACCAGCTTGAAACGGGACAGCGCGGAATTGTTCATCAAAGAAGTCATTCCGTCCCTCGTCTTGAGTTTTGTGAGTTCTTTGATAAGCTTTTCACTGTCGAGCGCAATGTGAGAAACTTATAGCCAATTGTGTGCGTTATTTGTTAATCCATTAAGGCCTGGTTTCACCGAAACGTCGCTTGACTGTAATCTTAGTTTAATTTATCTTTCTTTCTTTCTAAAGTAACAGATAGAGACAGAGAACGAAACCGGGCCTAAATTATTTGGCTCGTCGTGGCTGAAGGTGATTTAACTTTCCCCGTTTACTTTACAGGAAAAGTCCGCCTGGATCGACGGTGGGATCAGTTCGTTAGTTTGTATACGAGACGAGCTGATGGTGGCGACCAAAACTAGCCACGTGGTGCGGCATAAATGGGACGGCAACGTGAATCGCGACTATTCTCTGGACCTGAGACGTATACCGTTCAGCAATGATCAGCAAATGTCTACGGTGGCCGTACCGCTCACGGAGAACAACATTTACGTCACCGATATCGAATATTCGCCTCTCGTTGGAGGCTTCGCTATTGTGCTGAACAACGGTAAAGCCGCGTTCCTCACTGCTCAATCTTTGAAGTTTGACCCGAATCAAGTGCAGGGGATCTGGGCCCAGGATGTGGACGATGCTACTTGCGCCGCGGTTAACCATAAATATCGGCTAATCGCCATCGGTAGGCAAAAGTAAGGGTCAATTTTGCGCTGCTCTTCTCGAGTTTGTAAATCCGTTATCATTTTTTTCTAATTACTTAACTCCAATACAATTCTTTTTAATAACAAATTTGTAGAAGTGATTAAAAAGAATTATTTCTACAAATTAATAAATAAAATATCTTATTTTTAACCTAAAAATGACCGTTCTCGGTTCTTATTTTACTTGTATTATTATAACAGTAACACACGTGGCACATTATAAAATGTAACTGCAATTTTGTTGTCTGTGCAACATATTGTGACTCAGATATTTTAATTTGCAGCTCCGAAGGCGTCGTATATTATGTCGATGAGACAACCGGCGGTTTACAGATGTCGCACACCCTGAGTCTGTCTTCCAAGGACTATCCAGGTCGGCCGGGTAGCGTCAAATGTCTCAGGTGGACGCCTGATAGCTGCGCCATTGCTCTAGCTTGGGAAGGTGGCGGCTTAGCGCTGTGGAGCACCTTTGGCGCTCTTTTGCTCTGCAGCTTGAAATGGGACTACGGCCTACGCGTGGATCTTACGCACGATAATCCTCTGCATATCCATACGATGGAATGGTGCGCGGAGGGTTATCAGCTATGGATGCTGCGAGAATCTCCAGGGTCTTTGGCTGCCAACGAAAACGGCAACAAAGCGACTAATTCAAATCGCTCTCTCATTCAGCTGGACTTTGCTAAAAGTCCTCTGACCATCAATCCGTGCATGGGCCATCACGGGCATCTGTATCTTCAAGGCGAGGATCGGCTGTATTTAAATTTGGGCGCTGGATTATCCTCAACCGCTTCGGGTTTTCACCTCGCCGCCGAGATGCCCAACGACAGTGTGCTCCAGACGCTCGCCGGCTGCAAACAGTGGCTCGTTGTACCTATCCCAACTGATTACAGTGGTTCCAATTGGCCAATTCGGGTAAATATAACGATAATAACACGTCTTAGAAGAAAAGTTTATAATCGCTTAGAAAATAGTGTAATTACTGGCAGTTTTTTCTCATATTTAATTTTGCTATTTCATGTAATCTTATTAATCACTTAACATTATAAATAATTTGCTACGTGATATTAATTAAAAAGATTTTGAAGTTTTTCTATATTGTGTGTATATTTCTTTGATATTATATTAATTTCCGTATGTATTTATGTTTATAGTATACTGCAATAGATAGCGAAGGTTTAAGTCTTGCAGTGGCCGGTAAAGCGGGATTAGCACATTATTCTCTGCTCTCGAGAAAATGGACATTGTTCGGCAACGAGAATCAAGAGCGGGATTTCATAGTAACCGGTGGATTGCTGTGGCATAAAGGATATCTCATAGCTGGCAGTTATTCCTTATTAGACGATAAAGACGAGATTAGAATTTATCCGCGCGACACTCGGCTCGATAATAATTATGTCAAGAGCGTTAAGATGCCCTCGCAGGTGCTACTGTTGAATACGATGAAGGATAGACTCCTAAGTTTCTGTGCCAATGCTCAAATTAATATCTATGATATGGTGTTGCAAAACGGCGTGGGTGAGTACGACATGGCCACACTTAAAAATCGCTTATGATTGAAAACCTTGGATCAATTCTCACTCAATGAAATGGACATGATACACGCTACTATTTTAGAAGCCGGCGGTATCGAATTATCGAGAATACAAACTGTGGACGTCAGTGGACTATGCGTACATCCCGCCTGCGTGGTGAGCGCCACGCTGACCTCGATTCGTGCGGAGACCGCTGGCAGCCATCCTCATCCTGAGAGTCTCCTGCTGAACGTCTCCGGACGCCTTCTCATGGTTCAACGTGAACATTCTACCGACAATTCGGAGGTGCTCTTCACGTGCGGCGCGCCGACAGTATTGGCGTCCTACGTCGAGAACGTTTGGGTGCCGTCGCGCTCGAGGAGGGACAAGCCGCACTTGACCGAGGCCCTGTGGCTGTTCTGCGGGGCACACGGCATGCGAGTCTGGTTGCCGCTGTTCCGTAATCATCAAGAGAAGGCGCACGCTTTTATGAGCAAGCGGATAATGCTGCCGTTCCACTTGCGCATCTATCCACTGGCGATACTCTTCGAAGACGCGATTCTACTGGGAGCCGAAAACGATACCGTGCTGTTCACGTCGGACACTAACTCGCCCTTTTCACTGCCCTTCAATTTATTGGAGCTTACGGTATTTATTTTACCTCTTTCTAAGTGTGGACAAATACAAATTAATTTACTGATATATTAGTTAGGATCAAACTTTCAAGGGATTATTATTCAGATATCTTTATTTTCAAACCTGTAAAATAATTTATAGAACATCGAGATTTTATCATAAAAAATTCTTTTTTTATTGTTTCTAGTTATGTAACTTAAATGTGACGACTTTATATTTCAGAGTCAAGTGTATCTGCATCAGATTCTGCGTCAATTGATACATAGGAACCTGGGCTATCACGCGTGGGAGATAGCGCGTTCGTGTTCCGCATTGCCGTATTTCCCGCATTCGTTGGAGCTGTTGCTGCACGAGGTCCTCGAGGAGGAAGCGACGAGCAAGGACCCAATCCCGGATGCTCAATTACCGTCCGTCGTGGAATTTATCCGCGAGTTTCCCGGCGTCTGGGCCAGAGCCGTCGTGCAATGCGCTCGCAAGACCGAGATCGCGCTCTGGCCGTACCTGTTCTCCGTCGCCGGTCCACCGAAGAAGCTACTGCAGGATTGTCTGCAGCGTCAGCAACTCGATACCGCCGCCAGTTATCTGATCATTCTGCAGAATTTAGAGCCGTCCTCCGTCAGCAGGCAGCACGCCACGTTACTGTTGGACGCCGCGTTAGAGCAAGGTAGATGGGAGCTATCGAGGGATCTTGTGAGGTTTCTTAGAGCAATCGGTAAGTAATATCTCATAAATCTTTATTGATATAATTATGTGTACATGTAAAATTAACATTCTCTCTTTTATAAATTCAGATCCGAATGACGTGGAGTCACCACGCACATCGTGGAGTGGCAGTGCGAAACTGGTGGGCCCACCCCAGACACCTCCTCTCTCACCGCAAGAGGACGATCTGGCCTTGGTCTTGGGCACTATGCAAGTTTCGAGGAGCCGCAGTTATAGCACCACGATTACGCCCAAGGTGCAATCCGAGAAGGACGTCGCGCCGTCCTCTATGCTCGAGAAAACCCGCAACGTTGTTATGAGGCGAAAGAAATCGGTCCCGACAGTGAAAACTAGCGAGAAAACTGAAAACAAGTGAGTATCTCGTTTTTTATCTTCCATTTGAAAGTAGCTAAAGTTATATGAATATTACATATTTGAAACACTTGGAGACTCATGTTAAGCAAGTTAAAACAAAGTATATTTATTACAAGATTTCTATTTTACTCTCTTTTCTTTCGCTGTCGAGCTAAAACTAATGAAATTTACATTTTTCCAGGGAAGGATCGGCGGAGGAGTTCTTCATCGATGTCATTTTGCAGCGTCACGCCCGGCGGCTGCTCTCAGCTCGCCGCTTGACCGACTTGGGTAGATTTGCAGCTCGTCTTGATTTCCATTTAGTGACGTGGTTCGCTCGAGAACGTGATAGAGCAGCGAAAATTGACGATTATGTGGGCACGTTGAAGGCAGTGCACGAGGACTTTGTATTTCCATACCCGACGCTTTCGTTGCCGACCCTGCAGAAATTTCGAAGATCCAGCCTCAGCTCTGTACACTCCATAATATCCGATGACGGGACCGCGTCTCCGAATTTGATCGTCGACGTACCTGATAGCGGATACACTAGTCTTCCAAGCGGTAGACCACCGTATACAACGTTGGTTTCGCCCGTCGCTAGCTTAGAGACACAATTTCCGACCGCGGAAGCCAAATTGACGCCAAATTTGATAAACGGTGAGTCGTATCCTCCGTTCGAGGTAATTCAAACTTTTTCACGTAAAACTTTTTGGTGAAAATGCAGATCGTTAGTAATAACGCAAGATTTATGTGCACTAATAATTTCTTTTCTTCGCATTCCGTTTGTAATATTTCAGATGCCAACAGTGTTCTTAGTGATACTAGTACAATCTGGAGAGACGATGCAGATTCCATGGTTGGCTCTGTGTGTTGGGTCTCACCGGAGACAGTGGGGCCTGCAGAAGTCAATCCATCGACTTCTGCACCGATCGGTCGGGCAGAAGTACAGCTCAGGTACGAATATATACATATTTTGTTAAATTAAAAACCAAAATTTAAACTTACTCTTGCATATTTTGCACAGTTACATTATTTATCTTCATAATTTTTAACAGGTATTTACTGCAACTGTTCCTTGAAGGCAGTTGTTTAGGATGGGCTGCGATAGTAGCTACTGTTCTTCGGGATGCGGCGGCCATGGCTAGAACCGTCAGAACAGCACATGCACCAATGCAAACCTTTGATTCTATAATCAATTTAAGAGATGGATTGCTTACATTAACCAAATGGTCTCATTCGGAATGGTATGCGTATATTTTTGTTGGAAAAATATTTTAATTTGCTCGATAATTAACAGACGTTGACGTACACAACATTAATTTACTCTGCGAATTAGAGTAATTGTAATTTTTATGATTTCAGCTTGGGGTACCGTCCTTTCATGTCCAACATCCAAAGCCAGATATCGTTGTTAAACAGGCTAGTGATAATCAAGCAACAGCAGGAGCAGGAACAGATACCGGAAAGCCCTTCGCCAAGCCCGGCTCCATCCGCCGGCAGCAACCAACGTGGCACTCACTCCCGCTCGAGGCACTCTTCGATCAGTCACGCTTCCAACACGGCTCCACTCGAAGAGGAACGCTCGCACGAATCACTCTTGACTGTCGAGGAGTCGGTGTTTCACGGCAGTTACAACAATAATCTCAACGTCACGGAGGACACGTCGCCGCAGAGTGCATGCACGATCTCTTAAGGCTTCACGAAACTCCCAAAAACTAAGGCTGTCCACTTCACCACTTGTATTTTATATACCAAATGGATTGTTTTCGTGTAAGACCAAGTTTTTCCAAAAGATATTACTTGATTATATTTCATACACATAAAGATTCCGTATCTATATACTATAATTATTACTTTAAAAGAGATCTTATTTTAGGGCCGCTGATTAAGGCCTTCATTGTCTTAATGTTAAGGATAATTTTTGTAATGTGACAATATTCTGCAAAGCTGATACACAGACATCCTTGTTCTAATGCAGGTTGTTCTCAGAGGTTCTTATAATTCGAAGAAGTCCTGGAAATTTGTACATAAGGTTTTGGAATGTCTTTTTAGTAACTTTACATCGAAGATTCTGAATTATACAGGGTGAAATATGTAAAGGTAAATGATTCACACAAGCATGTGATGTACATAAGCACTTATGATATTGTTAAAGTATACGCTGCGTCGGATGCGACATCCTAAGCCGCCAGAGCCAACTGGTAATTCTTAAATGATTTTACCGTTGAGTATAAAAATATTGTATGCTCATTCGTTAATTATGAGCAATAGGGAATAGCAATATAGTAAAAGTAACGAGTGAAGAGCGGTTGAAGACATTAAATCAAAATGGGCGCATTAAGAGGTCTGATATATAATTATTATTATTATTATGTAATGTGCAAAACAATGAAAATTATTAATAAGCTATTTATACTATTGTAACATAGAGGATCATACAAGTACATGTTATATTTTCTCATAAAACTTTTCTGTGCTTATTTTATCAGATGAAAAATCTACGTTCGACAGCTGAACGAGCAAGCAAAGGCGTGAGTCTTAATTATACGTAATATTTTACGAGACGAAAGCAAGAAACAATGATTTAAGCATCACTCTGTATACCCTTCTAGAAATGTAAGCGAAATAATTGCTAGGAAATGACTGATAAAAATGACATCAGTAATTTCTAATGATTCAATTACTGACCTCCAGTAATTGTTCAGTGCTTTTTGTTCCCAGTTGTTACATTTCTGTGAGGGTAAGAGTAGTTGCACTATCTTTTCAAAATTTATACAAACTAATTTGTATTATTTTTCCAGTTAAGCCTTTAATTTTTGAAGTATCAATTTTTCAGCCTTCAAAGAAGACAAAAAGTATATGAAACGACAATCTGTTTGAATTATCTCGACCATCGGCGAATTTTGAATTTTATTTCGTATAATTCGCGTAACACATGAATGAAACTGGTAGGAATTAGCAGTGTTAACGGATGCAACTGTTTTGCTGTTTCGCAAGGATATTGCATTCACCATTTGTCGTTTGATAAGTTCATGATTAATCCCGCTAGGCAAACGATCGATTGGTTATCAGCATCTAAGGTACGTCAATCGAATCTAAATATTTAAGTGTATTTACTATCGTCGTTCCAATCTTGTCCTGCATTCCGACACGCTTTTACTGAGAACGTTTACCTCGCAGGTGTTTCTAAACGTCCGATACGTGATATTTCCTTCATTCGATCGGCTGTCCTCTAAAAGCACACGATTACTCAGCGCATGAGGAAAGTCCGCCTTCATCTTGTGACACACATAATTAGGGAAAGACGGTATTGCATTGCGTTATCGATAGTGTTTTCTGCCTAACTATTATTTCTCAATTTCTGAGACTTTTTCCGACGTTTTTTTTTAATAGATAAATTAATGTCAATCGCAATCGCAGTTCGTCGCGGATAAAAATCGTTTCGCGAGGAGGAAAAAAGGGTAACGTAAATTCCTACTGCTGATAAGAGCACAAACACTTTCGCGAGACTCGCGAGTGTCCTCACGCAGAAGCACGTGCGAAACGATCCGGAGTTTGGTCCTGCGGTAATGATTACAGATACTCGAGCAAATATTTTAAAGAATCGCGCTGTGTAGTTCGGAATAAGAGGAATTAAAGGGCGCAAGAGTCGCGATTGGCGGCGCAAACGCGCAGCGAAGAAAAATTAAGACCTGACAATCGGTTCGTCGCGCCCCGTTTTCGTCTTTTTATAAGGTTCTTTGCAGTTTTACAATTGTAAATGCATATAATTATTTCCTGCCACGATTAATTACAATCAGTTCATTCGCCGATTAATTAAACTCCAGGTGCTTCGCGCAATCCGACTGAATATAATTAAAATACTAAACCGAATAATTTCAACACACGACGACGAAAATTAATAAAACCGTAAACGTTTTAGTCATCGTTAAGACGGCGAAAAATCGAAGCGTTTCATCCTCGTCGCGACTTTCGAATTTGTTTTACCGCGATATCTTATTTATTTCATTCAAAGTTACATTTTGATCTCGCGCGCTCCGGATTGACGGAAATTCCCGTTCGCATTTCACTTCGAGTTTCCTCTGCTCAACTACATTAACACCAGGGTCAAGCATATAAATTGGACGAGTGTACGGGACGGTAGTACGATGTAAGATGTAAACAAACACGTCAGTTGTAGACACGATTTCGTATTGCGACGGTGGGCGCCGTTTCGTATCTGGTCGAAAAGTTGAATGTCCCCTACCGTACGTGGAATTCCCGAGTGACACAAGTGCATCTCGTCCCGAGGCATCTTCTCTTCCACGACGATACGTCCGAAATCAAATTCCTAGAATACAGCGACGCGTTCGGTTTGGGGCTCGCCTTTGACGTAACTCACGTTCTATCAGGTAAGACTCGAGGTTGAGCGAGGAAACGGATTTCTTCTTTCAAACGGCTCTCTTGAGAGAGGCTGCGAGATCCTCATAAACCTGTTTAAAAGATTTATACGCAAAGTAACGTTATTGTATCATTTCGTTCGCATGCCTTCGCGTTATCGCGCCATCACGTTATCTCGTCGTGTCGGTGATAATCTAATAAAACTGATTTTATTTGAATTAGAATGATGATGGCGAAGGCTAACATTTTTCTGTCGCACTGACTATGTGTTCCATTCCGATGTGGCTTTCGGGGAATTTGTCATGTGCTTTCGTACCGCTCTAAATGTTCTCGAAAAGAGTGTGAGAACAAGATCGGCCGCATTTATTGTCGCATTCGATTTTGCTCACGAAGCAGGGGCTCGATTCTTGAATTTATTCGAAGGAGATACGTATGCGAAGATTCTGCTCTCACAGAAAAGTTGCAAGTTGATTGGCTATTCGCGTTGCTTTAATCAATAGACTTTCAACTTTTCTGTCAGAGCAGAATGTTCGTATACGTTTCTTCTTCGAACGATTTCGAGAATCGGCGCCCCAGGTATCAAACGAAAGGACTCGTCAAGATGATCGCGGATGCGTCAGTCTGAGGGTGCAAACTCATAGAGCGAACGGTGTACGCGGAAAATCGCAGAACGGAAGCCTTGACGAATCACGAGTGTTCCGATCGAAACCAAGTCGACCAATCACGAAAACATCGGAACACTCGTGATTGGTCAAGGCCTCCGTTCCGCTCTGTGAGTTTGCACCCTCAGGGTGTGCCTATTTAACGTTCCAGAGATATCGGGCTCCAAACATTGCCAGGACGATGAAGCCGTCTGGACAGACACACCGACCATTTGTCTGGAATGAAATGGAACCTTTGGAGCTCGATATTTCGGGATCGTTAAATAGGTACACTCTAAGACCGACATGTCTGTAATCAGCTTGACGAGACCTTTCGTTTGGTAAGTACCTACTTTGTGACCAAAATCGAATGCGAAAGAAACTGGGGCCGTTTGCCTACGGGCACTTGGTCTCACTCTTTACTGGTAATTCGCCAATACAGAAATATCCATTAACAGGGCTGTCAAATTGATCTTATTTATACACCTTGTTTTCGAAAAGTTTCGAATAACAATCTCTATTTTCGGTTTGAGAGCAAAACGTACTCGCTTCCACCGTGCTCCCTCGATTGAACAATTTCCGAGCTGTATCTCTGAAGGGAAAACTTTTCAAAAATATCGGAAATGTATATAAACAAGCCAGAGCGAACTATCTAGAGGCGGTATCGAAATTTTACCGTCGGAAGTGCTCGTTCGATTAATGATGCAGAGATGTATTTTGCGTGTAAAACAAGTCTGTTTTACACGCTGACAGCTTTTCTCGCGATTTTGTAGCAATTCTTTTCAGCAATCGGTTCTTTCACTGCAATTATTGCACATTTCCAACATAAACACAGTCTTACTGCTCAATAGTTGGACTGTATATTATCTAATTATTATATTAGAGCTTGTCGTTTCATATTGGGTCATCCTGTAAGTAACGCAGCATTTTAGAGATATTTTTGAAATGACGCAAAAAATTTGACATTTTCATTTTTATCCAAAATATATCGTTCATTATTATTTACAACTTGTCCCCGTCTTAATTTTAAAATTTCAATTCCTCGCCGATAAAATTAGACATTTTCATTTTAATCCAAAGTATACAGGGTGGGCC